ATTGTCAATGCTTTCAAATGCCGACCACAGATTTAAGTGCCCCAGCTTTGGCCAGTAGGTCAGCCTGGAGTGTGTCACGGATGATCTGGTCTGGACCAATGTTCACACGAGGGGCAGTTCAATAATGGCCAAAAGGTACGACAGCATCCTGAGACATGGAGGCAAAAGAAGGCGATGGACAATAGGAAGAAATTGACCAACACTTCTTATAAATTATCGTCTTAAAGAATATGTCGAAGGCGAATCAAATGTATAGGTGAATATTAGATGACATGCATCTGCAGAGGTTGTGTCATCTCGAACATAAGAAAACGAAAGACCCCAGAACGATCCCAGCATTTGAAGGCTCTCGATTGTCAGCTTCTCGTCCGCAAACCTTGTTGCATGAGTTTTGACATATGCCTGAATGAAGAAGAGTTCCCAATTTTCAGGTGTCACCTGTTCGCAGTTGTCAAATAATCACCAAGATAAACACTCAGTTGTGGAGCAAGCTGAGTAAAGAATAATTCAACATTGAGACAGAGAGCTATTTATGGTTTGGAACATCTTTGCCTTGGGCTGTGATTGGCTGCTGGTACCTGAGTGGAAGTATTTATATAAATACTAGCATGGTTTGCAGGATATGTATTAAGTTCATTTTATTTTTGTCCCAGCTGGAAAACTCACACACCAGTGCTTTTTATTATTGTTATTCTAAACAAACCCACACACCCACAAAGCGCGTCACCAACGCATTCTTCGCCTTTCATTCTACCACCACCATCCCCACTGAGAGAATCTGCAACCACCTCGGCATCGCAAATGGACAACAGAAGGACGACGCCCTGGCAAAGATTATCAGCGCCCTCCAGTCACCCACTCCAAGCAAACACCATATCGATCCTGACGACCACCGAGCTACGCTTTTCAAAAAACATTTGCCCCAATTTCTTCTAGAACCAGGCACCTCCGTTTTGATGATAAGAGACAATAAACACTCTCCGAGATTGGTTGTACCATACAAACTACGATCCAGATACCTCTACTAGGCACACGAGGGCAACAACTACTCAGGTGTTACCCGTATGCGAGAACTCCTTTCCAGCTACTGGTGGGAATTCAAAAACCGCGACATCAAGGCCAGTGTCGATTCTTGCGACACGTGTGCTAAGTGCAAGGGCAACTACGGTAGACGTACCCACTGGCCCATTGGCCACTGCAAACGAGGAAAGAGACCATTCGATCTCGTCTTTATAGACTTTGTCACAATGCCCAACTCAAAGGGAAAACGCTACATCCTAACCATCTTGGATAGCTTCAGCCGACACTTTACAGCCATACCATGCGCGAGAGACCGTGCTATCGACGCCGTCCGCGGATTGTACCAGTTCTTCCTTCGACACAGAGAGATTCCACGCATAGTATCCTCTGATCGAGGCACACACTTCACTGGAGATGTCTATCGACAATTCTGTAACCAGATGTCAATCACGCAAGAACTTCACTGTCCTTGGCGCCCGCAAAGCTCTGGAAATATCGAGAGACAACATCGCACGATGAAGAACGCACTTTATATGTTATGCGAAGACAGGAACTGGGAATGGGCAGACGTTCTGGAATCTGTCGTTTCGTCCATGAATGCCACGACCAACAGCGTCACCCGTGTCTCCCCGCACTATGCTATTACTGGCCGTCACCCCAACATCGGCCTACCTACACTACACAGAAAAGAAATCGCAAGCGACGATCCTGGAGCATATGGAATGCAAATTAATGCCCTGCTAAAGCAGGTTCACCACCACGTCACCCTGGCCAACGATGAAGCTGACCACAAACTTGAGACTAACTTAAATCGCCTCACATGCACATATCCGACGACTGGCTCCACGTCCAACACATCTATCTAATACAATCCCTCTGCCTCCGCCATTTAACAGTCACCAGGATCATTCTCCTCCACATCCCTCTGGGACACATAATTCAGCAAATAACTCCATACCAAAACAAATGCCAATAAGAAGAACACGAGGACAACTTCCCACATGCTTCAGAGACTTTATCATGAATTAATCACCCAAATATACACGAATAACGCTCACTGTAAATCAGACCGAGATCTGGGGAAGCCTTGTTATAAAATAAAATAAGACATATCTCGGCTATTTTGCAGGCAAATAAACTAACATACTTAAGAACGAGAGCGGATGTGTACGGGACAATGCCCCGTCACAAAATGACCATTATCGTCGTTTACGCATAGGCGCATTGACGCACGTGTTCCGGTCGAAAAATAAAATATTTTAAAGTGTTCCTATTTCTCGACCAATAAAAATGCTTACCTCCTAATTATACTCGCATCGTTCTTCGAGCCTGTTAAGCCATAAAAAACGCCATAAAGGGGTCACACGGGGAAGTCAACAGGAGGCCAGAGAAGAGATCTGTCACGGTCAGTCTGGGCAGTCAGCAGGAGGAGCGCCACGCCAAGCAGTGAGAACTACTATGAGAGATCAACCCAGATCGGCAGCCGGTAGCTGTCCCAAAGCCACACGTTCCTATTGAAATAAATCACGTAAATCTATTTCTGCTTTTGTCGCATTTCTTTCTTGCAACCATACGCTTGTCTATAACATTGGCTTGTGCTTCAATGTCCACGTTGAAATTAATGGTTGTAGTATCATTTATTACAATTATATTTTGTGTCCACTCGGCTGTCACTGCATTTGTTTCTAGTATGATGTCATCTAAATATACATAGCAGTATGATGTCGTCACTTTCCTTGGCACTTTCCTTCTGATACACCTAGTTGTAGTAGCTTATGCTGGCAAAATGGTTGGATTTGTGGCATTGTTTATGGCATTTTCCACATATTTTCCGTAAGCTAGGTATTGTTTCTGTGCTTTTTTCCACATTAACCATACTAAATGTGATATTATTGGTAGGTGTTCCATTATAGGACGTCAAGTTTTTCAAATTTTCCTGTTTTTTTTTTAATTATTTTGAGTCCTCTGTTTCTGTGTTACCTCCGAAACTGACGTTTCTTTATTTATATTTTTAACTTGATCCAGGATGACTTCAGTCACTCGGCATTTGTCTATTGCTTTTTTAATGTCACAAATTAGTAATTCGCGAGTGTATTTGTTTATGTTGCCATAAACAATTTTGTCTGTGACTAAGTCATCCCGGAGCTCACCAAATTCACAGTCCTTAGTCTTACTCTTATCTTGTATATATCTTTCAGAAATGAGTCAATTTTTTCTGAAGGTAACTAGTTTCTGTCGAAAAGTAAATATCTAACGTACGTTATATATCTTTTACCAGAAATTATTTTATGACATTTTATTTCATTCTTGTCATGGTTTTCAAATGAGTTGAAAATTTTTTGTCACATGTAGGAATATGACGACCTCTATTCGCTTATTTTTTTCTGTGAATTCAGCAACGAGCAAATAAAACCCGTGTTGTTATTCCCAAAATTTATAATTTTTATCAAGATTTCCTTTGAAGTTGAGGATACTTTGGTGGTTTGAAACTCATTTTCTTTTCAATTCTGGTTACTCTGCTGTAGTTATTTCAGGGTATCCAACATGCGTACCCATTCTTAATAATTAATAAAACTAGCATTTTTTTTTGTTTCTAGGTCGCGTTGCTTTACTCGTTTTTTTTTCTTTGTGTGGTTTGTGGCCGGGTTACGTTATTCTGACACTAATTGTTATGTATCATGTTAATGTTGAGCTTTGATAGACAACTGTGAGTAACAGCGAATGATGAAACAAAATATACTCTGTACTTAACTGTAGCAACCCATGGCGTGACTAACTTCCACTGTTAGTATCCGCAGGTACTACGTTTTATTGAAATGTGATTGGTCTCTATATAAATAGTTACAAAGGCGGCACTTCGACATGGTGTAATGGTTAGCAATCTTGACTTGCTAGATCAATTACAACTGTGTAGGGAACATATGTTATGAATCATGTTAATGTTATACCATGATGGACAACTGTGAGCAAGAGTGAATAACAAGACAAAATGTACTGTATGCTTATCTGTAACAACCCATGGCTGCTAATAGCCACATGCATTACACGTTATTGAATTGTTATTGGTCTCTATAAATAGTTACAAGGGAATTAATTCTGTATTTATTAATACAACACAAACCTTGAATTTACACTTTTCAGGTGTTGGAAGCACAAGAAATTTAACCAATATTTCTTAGATTTACCAATATAATTCTTCACAAATGTCCAAAGTGATGATCTTTATAATAGCAAGTAGTTAAAGAACATTGAAAGTTCCATGGCTTTGTACAAATCTAGTGTTTTAAGTACAAATTAGAAAAATGAAAACATTGACAAAGGAACATACCTTTTATTAAAGGATTTATTTAAAATAATTAATTTTGACTTGTTCTATACATGAGTTTTAAAGTATCAGTGATCAAAATTAAATTTATTAAAAAAATCTATTTTTGATGGTAATTCTAAAAGAAAATATCAAGATTATTGATAAATTTGTGTAAAGAGCAAAACTGTCTCCAGAAAGTCACACCATTCAAAATTAATATTCTTTACATTAGCTTTTATGACTATAGTTAATCAGAAAGAGATTTTGAAAAGAAACTGGACTGTATAAACAAATTTAAACAACAGGTCATAAAAACTCAATTCATAGTTCCTCGACTGCTTTTAATTGAGCTATTCCACACATATAATCAGTGTTGATCAATGCAAGTTCAGAACAGGTAGGAAAGGAACCATTTTTTTTTTATGAAGAATACAAATGTTTTCAAAGGATCCTTAATTTCCTCAACAATTTAACAATGATTTTCAAAAATCCTTTTCAATAAACAATAAATTCTGCTTCCATCTGACAACAAATAGTTTTCATTTTTAATTCCAGAAATAAAAAAACATTTCAATAAAGAACCAAGAACCAATGTTCCCAGTAAGTCAAATACATATTCATATATAAGAACATAAAAGGTCTTTGTTTTTCCTTTTCTTTTAAATTACATCCATTAGGATGCTATATTAACATGAACAGGTGAAGTAACATTCAAAAGAGATGAATTGTGATATAAATGTTGTTGAAGTGCAGGTAGATGTGACTTGTCTGTTTCATGATGCAAGGAAGACATAACTGAGAAATAAATATCATAGCCAATGGCAAATCCAAAATATAATGGAATAAGAAAGATGAAAGGCATCACCATGTTGGGTAAAGGAAGAGGAATCTTCACTTTGCTGCAAAAAACAATTTGTAAAAAGCATAAGTGAGAATTGGAAAAGATGACAAACATTTTATTATCTAGATTAGCATTGACTTTAGTGGGACTTTATTGGGTAGAGAAAGTCAATTATTTGATGAGAAGCAAATCTCAAAAAAGGTGGAAAATAATTTTTTAAAAGATAAAAACATACAACTTTCAATAATTATCATACAGAGCAACATTTTTTATAAAATGTATTTTATTAATGACATTTAATGGATAAATGACTCATAAACATTTAAGTTTTTTAAACACACTGAGGACAAACTAATGTTTGTGCTTTAGCATCTTAGTGTATAAATATGGTTACTTTTTATTTTGATTGTATTTTTTTCATTTTTAGAGTACTTAACATATGAGTAAGTTGTGTAATAACGCTGTGTAACAAAACTTTGACTTTTTTGTCTTTGATCACTAAGTTTTATTTCCTAATTGCTTCTGTCTAGATGGCAAAGGAAATGACAATTATTCCCTTCAAACATCGATTTTGTGACTTGAATGTGGATGTTTTGAACTAACCTATTTTTTATGACCAGAAATTAGCATCTAATCTGACCTAAGCTCTAATATCTCAGTTGGGGAAAAACTGACTGATTACATTCAATGCCTGGAAAACCAAACTAGTTACATTCTATCATCGCTAATAGGACCCCCGTGTTGTCACCAATCATGATGAATGCATATTCTTTAAGGGAGGCCCTGTGCCTTGAGTGACTATTGGGCCTTAAACTCAACCCACTGGAGCTTATATATATAATCCCTCACTAATGATGTTGGAAAATGGTTGGTTCCCTGTACTGCTCTCGTAAGTATCTGAGTCTTTGTGTTATCCTCTACTTTTATAAAAGCCAGATCAGGCCAAAAATGGAGTACTGCTGCCATATATAAGCAGGAGCTGCTCAGTCTTCACTTTCTTGTCTCAGTAGAGTTCAAAAACATCTTGTGGGTGACAAATTATTTTCCTCCCTACAATCCCTTTCCAACAGACGAAATGCCTCTCACTGCTCTATCATTATTTCAATGGAAAGTGTTCAGTTGAACTATATTCTTTAGTTCCACCAGTTATAACCTTCATGACTAAGACCTGCCATGCTACACATATTGTAGCAAAACACCCTCATTCCCTTTGTGAGATGTAAGTTCAACTCAAGCAGATTCTTCCAATGGACTGTTGCTCTGTAGAATTGACTCCCAAGACAGTGTTTTCCAAATCACTACAAACTTGGCCTCTTCAAGCCAATGATTAACCATTATCTTCCCCATATATCTACATAAACTGTGCCTCTTACTCAGTAACCCTCTACCTTGAGTGGTTCTCAGATCTTGTACAAGGTGAACACCAGTGTAAAAAAAAGAAAAACAAAAAACATTCCAGACAGATTCAGTGTCGAGTTGTTGAAGGATAATTTTCTAGAAGTTTCTAGAAGTTTCAAGAATTTCTAGAATGTTCTGGCAACATAGAGGGCAGTATAAATACAATGGTTAATTTTACTTCTAGCTGATTAAGTGAAGACAAGTCATCATTGATAAATGCATTCATCACAGATGTCATCAATAGTTTGTAAGCATTTGGCAGACACATTTTCCTATATCTGTGGCGAATTTATTAAGACAAGAGTGAAAAAGTACTCTGTGGCAACAACTGCTAAAATGTATGAGGTCTACAAGGTATATTTTGGCATGCCTGTTGGAGATCAAGACAAACCCTGGGCACCTCATTTCACCTGAACTGAAAAGAACTCTAGAAGATAAGATGGAAAGTTTTGCTTGTTTGGATACTGGAATTTTTAAGTGTAAAAGTTTGCGATGTTTTTTTTAATTTAAATAATTTTCATTTTTATTTTTTTTTAAGCCAGTGTTATTGAAAAACATGTAGTAAATATGTTTTGACAATCACTCATTAGTGTCCACAGTATTATGGATGTTTTCTATACTGGATAACTACTGGCAAGAGTCATAAAAGTACAGAATATTAGAGATGTTCAGTATTCAAGATTCCATATTTTTATGGCATTTGTGGGTCCAAAGTCAAAATTTTACATATCCAGTGAACGATTTTTAGAAATTTCAAAAATCAAAAATGTATTTTTTAGAATTTTTCAATAACACTGCTGAAATATTTTTCTATTTTTATACTCATATTTTTATTTTGTTCTTTTGCAGGAGGGAAATAGAGCCATGAAATTTGCAATCTCATGAATTTGGAGGGAACTAACTGACCACTCAGTTGCTTTTGTTGCATGGTAGATCCTTCCAAATTTTGAGCTGGCATGAATGCGCCTACTATCATATATCCAGACCTTCTGTCATCAATTGCCCCAGTACCACATTGCCATGAGCACCCTGTACCTGCTCCTCATTCAAAGAGAGAACAGCTGTCTTCAGAAGAGAACAGCAATTCAGAAGAGGATGAAGTCATTGATCCAGATTACAGTGGCACAGCTGAGGAGAGAAACCGATACTAACCCAAACAAAAAGACCTCAACGACCTGATTGGGGATCTTGGACACATAAAGTCCAATACCGAGCTTTGACGTCAAGAGTAAAGCAGTGGAATTTGTTAGATGAAAGTTGCAGATCAGAGAAAGCATCACCAGTGTTTTTTAAGCATTTTCACACATCATGATGAACTTTGCTTCTGCCACAATGTTACTGGTCTGTCTGAGGCAATTGAAATTGCCTGTAACGCCAGCGAGTGGTGCCTCTTTATCGACATCTCATTCAGGAATCTCAAAGCTGTGCTGCTTCATAACAGGAACATGTATTCATCTCTTCTCCTGCCTGGCTCACTTGGTTCTGCTCAAAGAGGAATACAACAGTGTCAAGATCGTGCTAGATGTCTTGAAATACAAAGAATACGGTTGGGAGAAAATTGTATAAGCTCTGTTGGTTGTATGAATTTTTTTTGTCTTTTTATTAGGTAGGTATGTTGAGAGAGAGAAAGGGAGAGAGAATCATTAAATTGATTTATTTTAGAAAGGAGATTTGGTACTACTTAGACAGTCCACTCGCAAAAAATAGGGGAAAAATTTTGGCAGGATAGTGGAAATAATTTTTGCAGGTTAGCATTTATTAGACTTCCCACCCCCACCATCTTCAAGCAAGCTATTTAGAAAAAATGTGGTGGATATTTTTAAAAATATTGATTATTTTTTAAAACAACATTTCTTTTGTTGCTGATTGGTTGTTTTGTAAAACAATTTTCTAATTGTCAAAAATTGGGAAAAAGCAGAATAAAAAAAATTAAAGCGAGTTGGAGAAGAAAGATATATTGATTATAACTCTGTATGTTCTTTCAAATTTTCTTTTTCTTCCATCGAAAGAGAAAAAGGTAGAAATTGCTTTTGGCACATAAAAGAGGAAAAAAAAATTAAAATAAAAAAAACTGAGTACTGAATTACAAAATATTCTTTTTTTGAACGGAAGTCTCTCAGAGTTAACTGGGCATAAATATTTGAGTTAATAAATTCTAAATGGAAAGGAAGAACTTTGCATTTGTTTAATTATTTTGTTTAAATTATTTACTGGGAGATCAATTAAAAAGACAACAGCAAAAAAAGAAACAAAAAAGATATAAGCATATAATATACTGGAAAAATTTTTCATTTTTTCTTTTTTTGTGGCTCAACTAGTGTTGACTAGGCTCACTTAGAAAGGAGTAACAATTTATTGCCAATTTAAAGAAAACATAGTAGTGATAGCCAAGTTTCTTTTTCTATTTTACTAAAGTAATTGATTATTATTTTATTGATTATTATTTTATTGATTATTATTTTTTCTTTTGTTAAACAAAACAAACAATATACTTCGTAAACAATATAATAAATTAATATTATGTTATAATAAACAACCTAACCCTAAAAAATGATTTAAATTTCCTAGACAACAATGACAAAAGTAATATCAGGCTCGAATAAAAAGCTTCTTAACCCTAGGCTAATCCTACCATAGTAAATGTAACTCACTATGTTACTTAGTAAGAGGATGATAAATTGCTACTGCTTTTCCTAAGCATTCCTGGTAAACAGTAGTTGAACCTTATTTAATTATTAATAATAATCCCTCATAACACTAATCTAATCATCTTCAATATTTAAAAGAGATTAGAGAGAAAAACTATCAAAGATTTGATTGTTTCCATACTTACTTGTTTTCTTTGTTTCTTGTGGCCAAAAACATCATAAAAACTAAAAGATTCACAATGTTTGCAACGAAAGATATAAATTTCTCCATCACATGAAGAAATGCCTACAAAATAATAATTAATAATAGCTTAAATATTACAAACAGATTAAAAATTTGACTATTTCCCCAACACCCACCTCAATTATGTTTGGAATGTTAATAAACATTTAACAATTAATTTCTTTTCCTGTCTTTTAAATAGTAAGGAACAAATTCTAAAAATCTATTTCATACTTCTCTTTAAAAATCTTTTTCAGATTTAATTAAGAAAAAGACAAAATGTAAGAAATCACTTTTTAGATTCCCAACATAAATAGCATTTATTTTTAACTGTTTTATAGAACATATTTGGCATTATTTTTTTAAATCAAAAGTTATAAAACATGAAATTGCATGAAAAAAATACGAGTGGTGGACAATATTTTTAAAATGTCTCATGCAGTGTTGTGATCTGAATATTTTAAAACATTTACAAATTACTTTGTCTGTATTAAAATATGTTCAGGAAGATAAAAATGTATTTGCAACAATTCTACATTAGAGTTATAGGTCAAAATTAAAATATTTATGATAAAGTTTATGTATCAAAACAAAACTTTAGGATCCACAAATAACATTGTTCTATTTATAATTTCAAACATTTTAACAGAAAAAAAAACAAATCTCAAAATCCAATCAGAATATTTAAATTCCAACATAAAATGAAAACTGACAGAAAGTGTTGTCAATTCTAGAACCTAAAAGAATTTACTAAAATGCAAAAAACATTTTAATCATATTAGAAATCATGGAAAATATCACAAAAAGTTTAGTAGAATAATGCAGTCTTGAATATTTTTTTAAGCAAATAAGAAAAAAAATAGTAGAAGAGCTTTTACTTAATGTATGAAGTAAAACTGGTCAACTGTTTCAATATCATTATGTTAAGATGATTCTAATCAGGTGGAAAATCAGTCCATCATGTTAAATGACCATTTTTAATTTAAAGAATAAAACTCAAAATTTTACTACAGATTTTATCTTCTAAGAGTAGCATTCAAGAAGCAAATGTTTTAAGTAAAAATAAAAAAAACATTTTTTCTTCATAGTCACTTACCTTTGGGTTCAGCATATCAATTAAAAATATTATTCCAAATAGTATTAATGAGAGAAAACTTGAGACACATCTGAGAATGAATGAAAAATTTAAAATAAATGATTAAATACTTTAGTACAATTATTAAGGTGTTCAGAAAGTATATAAAACAAATTTAAATAAATGTATTTAAATATTATTTATCAAAATTGTAATCACCTTCATTTTCAACAACTGCTCTGCAATGGGAATGTAAGATTTTTAAAGAAATCTGAGTTTTTCTTGAAAAATGTTTGAAAGTCTGTTTTCAACATTTTTGTTTCTGAATATTTGCTCACTTATGAAATTTTCTGGTAAGTGGGGAGGATATGAGAGAACCTCCTATCCTAATGATCTGGTTTTTTTTGGTGGGGTGGTTGTTTTGCAGAGTGTACCCTTGCATTGTCATGCTACAGAATATTTGTCTATATTTCTGAGATGAGGTATTACGTACTATTGTCCGACTCTTTGTCGCCATATTTGTCACAACGTTTCGGCCGTTGTACGCTCCGGCCTTCTTCAGGTGGTTGGAATTTCGAACTGAACCCTTTATTTCGATCGCTGGGGTAGACTGTTCTAATTCCACGTGCCATGTTTGATGGATGTCAGTTATCTCCTGCTAATTTTCCCTCTGAAAGTTCTCCACTGCCTTAACCAGGAATTGAACTCACCTTCTTTGGGTCTGTCACTGGATCTAACCAACGCCTTTATCCACTGTGCCTTGAGGACATCTGGGTATGAACTTCTGAGTATTATAAACCTAATGTTTTCAGCATCATTTTTACCAGTTGCACTTGGACATCATTGCCAGAGTAGAGGAGGTGGCCTTGAACATCCCTCAGGCTCAGGCGGATGAAATGAGATGGAAAGTGAGACAGGCCTTGGAGAGAGCCAAGCTGCCCAGGTCTAACATAACAAAACTGGAGAGACTGGCGATTGAATCACTACAGAGGAATGAGAACATCATCATACTACCGGCTGACAAAGGTAATGCGACTGTAGTGATGGACAAACCGGACTATACAAGAAAACTGGAAGACCTCATTAGCAATGGTAGCTACAACATAGTGAAGAAAAAGATCCTACTATGAAAACGGAATGCAAACTGTCACAGATCCTAATCAAGAACAAGGATCACTTCGCACCCAAGACGTATAGGCAGTTATCGCAGCGTTACAGCAAGTTACCTCACATATACGGTCTCCCTAAGATTCACAAAGACGGTATTCCACTCAGGCCGATTGTTAGTTGCCAAGGCTCTGTGTGCCACCCTCTGAGTCGCTTCCTTGTAGATATAATTGACCCATTGATCGGAAAGTCTCCTTCATATGTCCGAAACTCCGCCCACTTCGTGGAAATAATCAAAGATGCTCCCATTCTATCCAACCAGATGGTGAGCTTGGACGTGGTGAGTCTGTTCACCAAGGTACCCACGGAGGAGGCACTCTCAGTAGTCAGAGATAGATTAACCTCTGACTCTTCCCTAGAGGAGCGGACCAGTATTCCAATAGATAATCTGATGGAGATGTTGACTTTCTGTACACAAACAACACACTTCGAATGGGATCTCACATATATCGACAGGATGAGGGCTTAGCAATGGGCTCGCCATTATCACCAGCAATGGCGAATATATACATGGAATACTTTGAAGAAATGGCATTAGAGTCTATATCGCTAAAGCCAACTATATGGTTACGGTATGTAGATGATACTTTCATACTCTGGCCACATCAGGAAGAAGTCCAGGTTCTTCTGGACCATGTGAACTCAATAAGACCTTCGATACAGTTCACAATGGAGAAAGAGAGTAACAACTCACTCCCATTCCTGGATGTACTAATATCTCGAACAGAGAATGGGTTCAAGACATCCGTATACCGTAAACCAACATTCACCGGACAGTACCTCAATTTCAACTCCCACCATCCATACAGCATAAAGAAAGGGATCGTCCGATGCTTACAACATCGAGCAAAAGTCATAAGTGGCGATCCAGAGACGTTAGATAAGGAATTGGTCAGTATAAGTAGTACCCTACAACGCAACAACTACCCTGGGTACATGGCAGCAGCCCCAAAAAACTGGGATAGGCGGGTACAAGAGGAGGAGGAGGAGGAGGACAACAACACTCAGAAAACAGTCTGCCTGCCTTATGTGAAGGGGTTATTAGAAAAAAAAATACAAAAGATCTGCGGTCCATATAACATCAGGAGAACCTTCAAAAGCGTGACAACACTTCGCAGGTATCTCTCACGAGTGAGACCCCCCATAGAGAGGAACATGACTAAAGACTGTGTGTACGCTATCCCATGCAGCTGCGGAAAGGAATATAAAGGAGAGACAGGCCGCCCCCCCTCAAGGTAAGGCTTCAAGAACACCAGAAAAGCTGTAACGCGAGGGGAAGTAGAAAAAATCAGGCGTGGCTGACCACATATGGAGAGAAGGGAGATCACCGCCCCCTGTGGGATCATGTTGAGATCATAGACAGGGAACACCATTGGAAAATTCGTAAACTTAAGGAATCAGCACATATGCTAGGCCACAAAAATCTCCTGAGCCGACCAAGCATATATGGGAACCAGTAATAAGGAGTGCCAGAGAAAAGCAATGATAACAAAGTTGCAATATGAACTCTGGTAAAGACATGCAATGATAACAGCAAAAAAAAAAATTGCAATATGAGCACTGGTAAAAATGATGCTGAAAACATTAGGTTTATAATACTCAGAAGTTCATACCCAGATGTCCTCAAGGACACATGGCACAGTGGATAAAAGGCGTTGGTTAGATCCAGTGACAGACCCAAAGAAGGTGAGTTCAATTCCTGGTTAAGGCAGTGGAGAACTTTCAGAGGGAAAATTAGCAGGAGATAACTGACATCCATCAAACATGGCACGTGGAATTAGAACAGTCTACCCCAGCGATCGAAATAAAGGGTTCAGTTCGAAATTCCAACCACCTGAAGAAGGCCGAAACGTTGCGCCAAATATGGCGACAAAGATGAGGACAATAGTCCGACTAATGTAAATACTGTACAGAATATTTGTTTAGTAAATCAGAACACTTTCAATGTAATCCTGCATTTACCCAATCAAGTTGCTGGAAATAAATGCTTACCAAAACAGTTATTCCATGTCCCACTAACTCATAATAGATGACATCTTTTATCTTTCACCAGTCACAAAGCAATGTCTTCCAGAAGATGGACTCCAGATTTTGTTGTTGACACTATTTCTTATTTCAGACTTCACTGCATTTTTAAAACCCTATATATCAGTACTACCCTTTTAGAATTCATACAGTATGCAATATTGCTTTTTAAAGTTTTAATCCTCAATGGGTTTAAACTCTGAAATGCATTATAAATGGCACAATTAAATAGAAGAGATGATGAGCTAATTCTTGATGTAATTTTCTATCATTTATCTTTAGTTCTGTTTTGGTTGGTTGACTCATAATTTATAGCAGTGAAATATGTAATTACTTTCTGAACACCTTAAAATTTAACAACAAATGGATACTTTTAAAAAAAAAGGAATTGTGATTCTGCATTTAATATTGGTCCTCTGCAAATATTCTAATCCTTTGACTACAACAGTTGGTAAGGGAAAAACAAATGTTTGCAATATTTTAATGATATTATCAATCCTCAGTGACATCTAAAAGTAATATATTATTATTTTATTGTTATAAAATGTTGAGGACATTATAATAATGAAAATTTTTGATTTCTGATACCATTTTTATGCTATAAAATATAATTAACAAGTAACCATTCCAAAATATTAAACATTTTTTGAACATTTAATGGTTTTGCAATTTCAATAAAAGTAACTCTAATGAAGCCTGACCATGTCCAAGATGGGGTGGGGAACAGAAGCAAGTAATTCTTTAATGGGATCTGAATTTTAAACGTAATTTAACACTATTTACTTGGATTTGGATCTCTGGAACAATTTCTATGAGAGATTTAAAAATTAAAGGTTACAGCTAAAGAAAAACAACTTACTTTTTGCCAATATTCACAATTTTGGGTGATTGTTCTGTATATTTTGATAAAAAACAGGCTGATTCAACAATGCCACAAACTGAACAAAAATAAATAAAATGAAGGAGAATAATAAGAAAAAATGACAAGAATGAAACATAATTCTATAAAAAAAAAAGACACCTATGAAGAATGAAGAAAATGAATGAAAATATAGAAAGAAAAATGAAAAGTAAACAGTAAACCATTTTAATATGTATAGAAGTCAAATAATATTTGCTGCTTTTTGACAATCAGGAACAATAACTATAAATGAAGATGAAAGCATAGATGTGAAAATTTTAACAAGTTTTATTGGTTACTTACTCATATGATGCAAGGCTGTACCCATTGTCATAAAGGAGACAGTGATGCTTATCATTATAAACACTTCAACAACTATAGCCACCCAAAGGAAAGATGGAAGTTTATGACGAATGATCTGACAGGGAGAAATAAAAACAAGTTTAGTTTTTGGTAAGTAGAATCAAAACAAACCAATTTAGTTAGTAATAAAGCAGGATTTAAATTTTGTAATAATATATTCTTTTTTCTAACCTCAGAATTTTATTCCATTCATTTTCACAAATATTTTTGCAAGTTAAAAATATAGTTGTTATATATCTCCATTGCAGTACTCTGATAGTCCACCCTTAAATAAAATAACTTGGAGGTCAGAGAGCAAGAAATAATCTGCTCAAAGGTTGAGAGACCAAATGTTAACAATTTGAAAAGGCCAAGTTTTCCCATTTAAAAAAAAATCCAAGCATTCCTTGGTTTCCTAATTCTGTTATTGAATAGTATGTACATCTCTGTACAAAGTGTTAATGTGTATCAGAATATTTATACATCATTAAATAGAATAAATATATAATAATTTGGAAGCAAACATTATTAATATGTTTTCACATAAGTATTTTATAGAAATTCACTTGTGAGATGAGAACTGTATGAGAACTGATATCCTCATCTTGTTTATTATAATCACAAGGTTTCATGACTATAACAATAAAGATGAAGATACTAGTTAGATTAAATCAGTGTATAATAATGAGAAAGGAAAAGTTTCATAATAACAGTCAAACTAGCATAAATGTTCTAATTTGGATTACTTGATATTTATATGGTTTTATACTATGATTATTATTAAAAGCAATCAGAGAACTTATTATACTCCAGTCCTAGCTCTAAATTTATGATGATGGCTCATATAGCAAAGAATATACTAATCAATTGTTTCTCACTAAAATCTTTCAATAAAAACAAGGCTAATTTGGAGAAGGACAGAAATATATGGATACATTCTATATATTCCTATAAACATTATAATAATCTATAACAGACGTATAGATATATGGAATATGTGTCATGAGCAGATCATATGTGGATGGTGGAATATTTATGAGATATTCATTTAATAGTGAGATCAGATTATTCAATTATAATTTTTTCATCATATTTGGGAAATAAATTAACATCCACAAACTTTATAAAAATGATTTGGGCCAACTTTTTAAAATCCTTTTGGATTCTTTATATTAATTTTCATGATTATTTTTTTATGCAATTTTTGTAAGTCTCATAATTTAATTTCAGTTTTGGAAAAGAACTTACTAAAAGCTCAAAAACTTTGGAAAATGAAAAAAAAACTGAAGCAAAATTTTCACTTAATTCTCAACAGCTTACTTCCAACATATATTTTTTTGCCAATAATATCTAAGATATTAAAAAAGAAAGAAAAAACTCACTCTTGTCAGTGGCTCTGTTGAGATTTCTCCATTTTCTTTTGCACTAAAAAAAAGATAAAAATTGAAAATATTTCTTAATAGTATTTTTATATTTTGAGAATTTATCTGTGCAACTCCGTCTTTTTTATTTGAATTTTCAGACATTTATTATTTCAAATAGAAAAAAATCTCAGGAAATTTGAGAAAAGAAAATTTATATTTTTGGCAAAGTTTAACAAATATACCTGCAAAAAATGGTGTCTGTCAAAAGGAGGGTTTTTCTCTTGTCACCACTATTACTGTATACTCCCTTGGAAATATTTATTGTTTTAAAAAGCTATTTTTAAAATTTTAATAAAAACCCCAAATATTTGAAACTGAATTTTTACTTTTTTCTCAGCCTATATCAGTGAATTTATATGGCAAGGGCAAATGTGAGAAATGTGAGGAAAAATGCTTTTTTCACACTTTATAATTACTGTTTCTCTACTGTACATTTTTTTCTCTTTTTCACAGACATTTTTATAAATGTATGAATAAAAATTTGTTTTCATGGTGATATCTTTATAATATGGTAAATAATATATATTGAATTATAGTTGGTTCACATATTTCTATAATCTTTTATGAATATAAAATTATTTTAAATTAAAAATAACAATCCAATAAATAAAAAATCTTTGTTTTTTCCTGTTTTTTATAGCAATAATAATAATAATAACTCCATTGTTAACTTGAATATACTTGCTTAATAGAAATGTTGACCTATATTGTATATTATATTTTATATATTTTGTGATAAATAAAGTTTGAATATATATGTAATGAAAAAACAAACTTTGAAGTATATAAATGCAGATAATAAATATTTGGTTAACAAACAAGGAATTGAGGTTGATTTAGTAAATATTTTGTTGTATGAAAATAATTTGAATAAGAAACACACATAGTATCTTAATTGTTACTTTACTATTTTTTTTCTAATATATATATATATATATATATATATATATATATATATATATATATATATATATATATATATATGTATACACACACATACATAGATGATGTGATGCATAAATTTTCACCATTTTATATTTTAATTTTGTGCATGCACAGTATTTGTTTTTGATTTTGTTGACTGCACAGTATAGAGGGTCAGTTGGGCACCATCTGTAAGAAAAAGAGTAATTTGGCATGCTGTACTGCTTGGTTTTCATGCTTGAAGCTCCAATACAAACATTTCATAGTGTTTGGGTATGAATCTGAGTAAAGTGAAGAGTATTTAGAAAGAGTTTGATGAGTCTAATGGTGATTACAAAGGTATGGCAGCTCTAAAAATTTACTTTGATCATTCTGATAAGAAAATAACTCCCAGATTTGTTGGTGAGAGCCTCAGACTTAACACAGAATCCAACACCAAGCACCTTGAGGAGTTAGTGATACCCTGGGTCAAGAGGGTAGCTACTGGAAGACCCTATGTCTGGTAACAGGATTCTGCACCATGCCACACAGCAGGAGAACCCAGTCATGGTTGTCGGACAATTTCTGTGACCACATCACCTCTTACATCTGGCCACCTAAATCCCTAGACTGCAACCCCCTAGATTATTATATATGGGGTGCAGTTGAGTGAGGGACCATCAAAAATCCTTGTAACACCAAAGATGAACTGAAGGCAAGGATTATGGCAGCATTCACCAACTTAAACAAGGAAAACACCCAGAAGAGATGCCGGAGATTCTGAAGTTGTCTGGAGGCCATGGTTAAATTCTATTGAATAAAGTCTACTACAAGAGAATAACACACAACACATGGAATTGACCAGCAGTTGTTCTCAGACAGGATGTACAACAAGTTCTGGTCAAACAGGAAGGTATTTATGTCAAAGTATACCCATGTAGGTTCCTTTTAGAAAGCTCAATTCAACCAAATTCCACTAAATTAGATCAAGCTGCACCAACTTCAGATACTAAAAATTAATGATATGCTTGAGAACAGTTGGAGAATTAAAGCATTTATTGAGTTCAAATGTTCATTATTTAATTTATTGATCTATATTTGTTTAATTAACAAAGAAAGAGCAAGATTGTTAGAGTGAATGGAGTTACTCCCCTTGATATGAAGATGCTATTAAAGAGATTACTATAAGGGAACGTGAGAAGACGCTATTGAGTTGAAAATATACACAAAGAGGTAAAGGTGTTGTAAGACTATTTAACAATTAATTCTTGAGAAAAATAAAATGCATAAATTCAGTTTCGTAAGTTTGAAATTTACTGAAATTCTAAAAATAGCCTTTAAAAATAATAAAAATTGCCAAGGAAGTCTGGTGTCAAGAGAAAATTGTCCATTTGACAAACTGTTTTTGTGGGCACATTTTTAAAACTTTGTTGTTTTCTTCATGTTTTACCTTTCCAATGAGTTGCATTGAGAAGACTGGTTAGTTCCAACCATTGGTGTACAGTGTTGTGGTACAATTTCAAGCACAGCCCAACACCTGAAAAATGCAAACAGTTTGGAAAAGCAACTTGCAGGTATAGCTCTTAGATTGAAGACAGCTATATAAAACCAGATTCTATATCAAGTGCTATATTAGTGACATTTATTCTCTTTAATTTACAAAAAAAAAAAAAAAAAAAAAGACCGATTTTATACCAAAATAGCAATTTATCTACTTCTAAAATCTTCAATTTCTATAAAAGTAAAAAAAGTTCTTTTAAAAGAACTGTCTCAAAAGAAAATAGTAGAAAGAGAGTTTGATATCCTGACATTTTAGAATTTTCTATCAAGCAATAAAAGTGAATCATCTAGAAAATAATTCTGCTTTCATTAGAGCCTCTGCTAATGAACATCACCAATTAATTTTTATTACATTAAAGAAACACATTTCTTTACTGGTACAGATGAATGGAGGTTTATATGTGTGTTTTATGTCTCCTTTTGTCATGCATTTTCTATTCATTTATTTTTTCAGTGAATTTATAAGAATAAAAATAGGCAATGACCCTAAGGATTTCAGGTTGAAACAGCAAAATAAAAAAAAAACAAAATTAACAATGAATTTATGTTGTCAACTATTATGACTGTGTATCTACTTGAGAATATTACTTGTATTCCTAACAGACAGACACACATACTTACATATCTACATGTGATATAGACATTTCGAAATCATCTGAAAACTCTTCTGCACATTGATCTGACTAAACCAGATCCTAAAATTTGATTTCAAATATCTGCAATATAATTCTGCCTTGATTTAATCAACAAATGTGTATCTTTCTGGTTTTCAATAACAAATAATGACCTCCTCCCCTATTACAATTGGAAATGTTAATCATTTAATGGATTTCATTTCTACTGTTGTTAACAAAATAAACAATTTATCATTACAACTATAATCATAAAATATTTAAACGTTAAATGTTAAAATTTAAATGTTTAAAGGAAAGTTTTGAGCACTGATTTTCTTCAAAGCAAACAAATCACATGAATTCTTGATTATATCACAGAAAGTAGACAATAGTAAAGAGTTATATTTTTTATGTAGGTAAAAAATAAACTTGAAAAAGAATAAATATTTATGACTATTTTATTCAGTGACTTACCACAAAATCTTTAGAATTGTACAAGTGACAAGACCCATTACAACTGCAAATCGATATTTTTGAATCTGAAAATAGATGCAAAACAGTGAAGCCAATAAAAAACTATTTCAAATCTTACATAGAAATAAAAAATAAAATACTGATTATGTTAAGAATGGGAATAGTAGTCATGACTGACAAGCAAGTCAGTCATGACTACTATTCTCATGAAAAGAAAATGAAGGAATGAATGAATGTGTTTAACAGCAACTTGGTAAATGGCATCAATGGGTTGTGAAAGTCTATTTCATTATAATTCAATAAACATGCTTTAGTAATTAGCTACTTCAATAATTAAATGTGTAAGGTTTCTTACAGGAACATTTTATAGCACATGGAATAATAGTGGTGTAAAGAGTACATGCATAAAATAACTGATCAATTGATTTGTAATACAAAGATAACATTTATTAAAACAGAATTAACAAAAAGAAAGTTTAAAATTCCTGTTTGGCAATATTGAGTTTATTGAGGACAAGTTGATGAGTTATTTCAATGCAGTGTGTGATGTCATTTTTTTCTTACAGGGGTGTTAAATTTTTGTTTGGTTATGTCTTGAAAATTGGACAATATTTCTGAAAAATAGGAATTTTCTTCTGCTGATGAAACTTTGAGACTAAGAAGTGTTGCAGACTTTAGGCAGCCAATAGATTTGATGTCAATCTTTGTGTCAATCAATTGTTGCCTTTTAATATCAATTAACAGACCCTAAAAAGCCTGTACTCAAAATTGGTGTAGTGATGTTGGCCATGATGAAAGTTCATTAGAAATCATATCGTAATGCCAAATTAAGTGTCATGCATTTATGTCCATATCTGTAGATAATTGAACCATTTACCACTTGTAATGTAAGTTTTCTCAGGTACTTTAATTTGTCTGACTGGGAAGCTTAGATTAGCAATATTTGTGACCCAATATTGATCGGGAATATTGTTTTTGAATTTCTGTCAATTATGTGGAAGAGTTGATGTTTGAAATGCCAATGTGTCCTGCTGATGAAGATGGTTGGCATATTTGTTTCCCTGGGACTTGTAATTGCAAGGAGTTGTGCATTTTGTACTCCTGTCTTGTAGTAACAGATATCACTCCTTCCTTTTGACTTGCTCCTGTATCATTGTCTGCTTCTCAGTGAACTACAATGATGGTGTCTCTGCAATTGTTAATTTTTTTTTTAGTTAAATCACCTATTTGCCTTTTGAAGAATTTATTTTCCTCCTGTATTTGGGTGATGTCATCACACTGACTCCATGCACTTGCAACTATATTGTCTTGGGTCATGACTTCCATCACTTTATCAGCTGTATCACATATTCATGGGCACATTGTCTCCCATTGCCGTTAAGGATACCTGCATCATTTGTGGCAGCTTTCCTATAAATATGCATTGTAAAACACAATCATCCAATATATTACCAGACAGATTTTGTAAATGGTGCAGTTTCTAATAATTGTTACAGTCTCCTCCTCTCAGATAGTGAAGTTTGAAGTGCTAATTTGTTATACAGGTTGGTTAGTGGTGGATTTAACAGGAGATTCCGTAGACATGTGGCTGTTTTTTGATGTAATGCAGAAACTACACAAGCAAATTTTTGTTTTTGTAATAAAATATTTTTCATAAAAAAACGGCTATCAAGCAGGGAAAAAAAACCCAGTTCCAGGTCATTGTTAGAGAATACAGTTATGTTTTCAAAGACAGCAGCTAATTTGGGCTCCTCCATTTTTTGTGTGTAAGCTTTTTTTATACAATTTTACAAGTTTTGTAAAAATAAACACATTGCATATGACATATCAAAATGTTGTAGCACGTAAAAATATTTTTCTTCACTACTTAATAACAGAATATTATTTTGTAAAAAATATTCTGAGAAAAATTTTCAATGGAAAACAGTATATAACACTAACATGATAATTAATGTTAGTGTAGTGTGGAAACGTTTTTCATTTCATAAAAATAAGTTTATTTATTTCCTTATTATTTATTTATTTATTAACTTGAGATAATTTGCTATTTACCTCAAACACTGCCTTCCTTAAAAAAAAAATAATTTAGTTGGCTGCTCTATGTGTGAGTAGTGTCAATTAGGTTAACAGGAAGAAAAAGAAATGGCGAAATGGGAGTTAGTCACTTGGTCAATCAGTGGTAGTGTTATTCCTGTTATTTTACAACTTTCTAAGAAGTTTTGTGACAGAGAAAAAATATTTTAACTCTTATCATGCATAACCATCAAAATTTATAAAATATTTTATCATAAAATATTGTTAATTCAATGTCAAATCTAGTGAAAGATTTTTTCTGAAAATTACTAAGAGAAAATACTGTATAAAAAGGATTTCAAATTAAAATATAAAAAGGAAAATATCTTTGTAGTTAGTGTAATACTTACAGAAGTCAGCACAGTTTTATTTATTTTAAAAGAAAAATCAGTTTAAATTAAAATTTATGAAACCTTACTAGTGTGAAGTTTTAATACACTCTTTTTTAAAGAAAAAATAAGCTTATTGCATTGTGGTTATCAATTTAGTGATTAGCTACTTCAATAATTAAATGTGTAAGATTTCTTACAGGAACATTTTATAACACATGGAATAATGGTGGTGTAAAGAGTACATGCACAAAATAACTGATCAATTGATTTGTAATGCAAAAATAACATTTATTAAAACAGAATTGACAAAAGGAAAGTTTAAAACAAAAGTTTTTTGCTGGACATAAACTGTATACATAACGAATGTTCATTGATATGTTATAATGTGAACTTACAGTTTTGGCATGTTTTAGTGAGAAGCATTCACGGCCCTTGTAGCTTCAGCATGAAAAGTTCATGTCAGCAGTTCAAAAGAGGGAAAACTCGGAAAGGAAGAGAATTACTTTATATTTGAGAGCTGTTGCTGCTAAGTTTTATTTAGAGCTGCAACATATAGTTTTATTTTAGAGCTGCTACTCTCTTTAAGGTAAAGCCGGAACTGCTACTATCTTTAATGTCACTACAATGCAAACTTTATTCCTCAGTAGAATGAGGTCTGATGGTGGATCACACATTCACAATTATCAGAGGCAATTTTAGGTCAGTTAAGAAAAATAAAATAAAGATAGTAGATACAGGATTAGATAGAGAAGTAATTGACACAAGATCAATGAAAAGTGAACCTTTTGATGATAAGGAGAAATAAAATTTGTTTCCAATGTTAAGATTTTTAAGTTTTAAATAAAGGAAAATAATAATTATATTATTGTATCATAATTTCACTGCAAATATCTATCAAACTTGGACATTTTCCACTCAACAAAAAACCTAGAGAGAAAATGTTTGTATGAAGAACAGATGTTATGGCAATCTAACATAATCCACACAAAATATTATATATTTATCTGAAAAAAAAAAAACATAGAATGTATCAGAAGAAAATGTTTTGAAAAAATAAATAAAACAATAATTGAACAATACAAATTATTTATTATATTTACATGAAAACCTTTGCTATTTAAAGTATGATTGCAATCTGGTAAGTGTAAAATATTGCATAGGTAACCATGCTTTGTGCACAACTAAGCATAGTAAATATCTAAATTATCACATAGGTAAGTAATAGATAATTCAATAATAGCAATAAATTTATCATAAAAACAAATGAAAATACTTTTGAAGAATCATTGTCAATGACATTTTTAAGAAACTGCCACCTTCACAAATTAGAATGAAAGAACTGGAAGACAGGAGGCTTGGCAAAGTGCCACAAGAGATAGGAAGCTGTGAAGAGCCATAAAAGAAGTTACTCTGTGCATAACCATGATAAATATCTAAATAATAACCATAGATTTTCCATCAAGAAAAAACAAAAGAAAATACCTGTGAGGCATCATTTTCAATTTTTTTAAATAAAAATGGCATTACTAAGAAACAACCGCCTGCAAAAATGAGAATAAAATTTTCAGTGATTACTGCAATGAAAGCTGAAAATCAAAATTTAACAAAAGTTTAATTTCCTATAATTTCTCATTTCATAAAAACAAGTTTATTTATTTCCTTATTATTTAATAACTAAATCCTAAATAATTTGCATTAAACCTGACAAAATTATTTTCATTTTAATATATTGTATTGTACACTTAATATAGATTCCTCTCGTTTTTTTTTTTGCACCATACTATTTCAGTGTTAGCTGAGCCAACTGACAATATTAATGTTAGCTAAGAACTGCTGAATGAAATATTTCTTTCCTCTTGTCAGTCCTTAGAAATATTTCGGCTGCTACCTTTACATGACCAATTTCTATTAATAAAAGAAATATTAGGCGGTACTTAATTAACTTACCAAAAATATTTGATAAATTTTAGTAAAGAAAATTTTCTTCCATCAAGATTTTTTTTATTTTATCAAATTTTTTTTAGCATAGGTTCTTTTTAAAACTGCTTAAATATTGAAAATTATAATTTCGTAGCATCTGTTATATTTAAAATCACTAACTAGGGTAAGGGAGACAATTCGTATAGCTTGCAGGTGACGTTAGAGATTGGAATAAATGCAATCATAATTATTTCCCTTTAACCTTTTACCGCTTATCAGTTAACGTTTGTGTTGCTACAAAGACAAAGTTATGGAACATGTGAAGATTAAACTCACGAGCAATATTTATCACTATTATGACACAGCAGAGGCTTACACAATTATCAGTAGAAACTGGAAGGGGAACCTCTACTACTCATTAAATCTTTTTAATTAATTCATTCTCCAGAAGTATTTAGATAATATTTTTATTATTGTAGCATAGCTGGTCACTTATTTGCTGGCCATTTATTTTTTAGCTGAAGGATGACTATACAAACGTAGTAAACAAAGATATTGGATGAAATCAACTTTGATACAAGATCTAATTGATGGTGCACAAAGTGAGGATGAAACACAATTGCAGTAACAGATAAGACTTGAATGCTAACAACAGTTCTATAGCAAGTTATTTGTTGTAGATTGTTCTTGATTAGTTATCTGACCAAGATATTGGATGACACCAACAACACTTTTATAGCAGATTATTGACTAGATTAGCTGATTAGATTTTATAGTATAAATTTAACTTTTGTTATGATTTCTAATTTAGTTTTATTCCAATTCACTCTCTCTTGTCTTGTTCTGCCATTAATCTTTTATAAATTTGAGTGAAACTAAATTTTGTCTGTGCCCCCAACTTATGTCAGTAGAACAAAACACTGCAGTGCTAACACATAATAAATGTTTCTTTGAAATAAATGGCATTTATTTACCCACATTTCCATGGTGGTAGGATGTAACAGAATGTCATTTTAATGTGGGGTGCCTTACATATACATATGGACTAATGACAAAAACTGCCCATTTCCTGCAATGACTATCATGCTGGTGTTAGTATCCATTAACCCTCTAACTTTAGCACAATGAGGAAGAGGTTGCTGCAGGTTTGGACTTCCTAGGACCAGGCTTCCTCCATAACTTTAAGAGGAAAGGAATACAGATAATACACTTGATATCATCCCTCCCACAGTGATGGAATATGGCACAAGGCTGGTTTAAAGTGGGGAGACCATGCATATGCATGTGGCTTAAGGACCCAAACTGCCCAGTCCCTGTAATCAATATTATGCTGGAGTCAATATTCCACTGACTTTCACTCTTTGGTGCAATAAGGAAGGTGCTGCTACAGGGTTTGAAATCTCAGGGAAAAGACATCTTTCATTTATTTGTTTTGTTCTGTCCAAAGAAAAAAAAACAATTGAGAGATAAAATGTAGTTTGTTTTTCTGAAGGTAGATATTTAGTATTTTCTTGCTTGCAAGATATGACGCAAAGTCTGTGTAATATGGGGAGCTTGTATGCATGCCAGATCCAAAAATAGTCCAACCCTCACAATTGTTGGTTGCTCTGGCATCAGTATTCCTACCAATCCCCACTCTTTAGTGCAGTGAGGGTGACACTGCTGCAGACTGCTGTTCCCAGAGACTGGTCACCTCTCAATAATAATTTTCAGTTGCATGCTATCTGCAGACATAGATAACTGAGAAACAAAATGCAGTTTAACCAAGTGCAGATACTACACTTTGATCATAGCTGAAGGTCAGGTAAAAGTGACATTTATACATCTTTCCACAGTAGTAGGAAGTAAAACAATGTTAATTTAAAAAGAAATCTGAACAATCACTTTACTATCAGCCTTTGCATTTACACCATAAGCAATAACATTTAATTTGCATAACAATTTTTAAAAGCATATTTTAATGTGTTATTTCTTTTTTAATTCAAATTTTTATAGAATTCTATAATTTTAGGTCCAGCGATATTAATTTTTATCTTATTTATTGATCAAGATCTGCTTTCTCCACCTGACTGAAGGTTTTCTAGGTTTACTGAACATTGAGATTTGTCAACATACAATCTATATTGTTTCTAGATGGAATGTGTATGCAAGTGAATAGTTATGATGAATTCTGGGAGGAAGATTTCAAGAAAGCTTCTCTTGTCATTGCTGTAGGAAACATTATATTGTATCTTAAGGAGCTGTTTGAGATGATCTGATGGACAAGCTCAGCCTGATTAAGCAGGTATATCATTCTCTATTGCCTTAGGCTCCCAGGCTGAGATGCTTTAATAATGATAAGGTATCATACACCTATAGCCATTGTACCCTCTGAGTCAGCAAAATGTGTTTTGGAGTGGAACTTATCTAACAACTTACTTTTCTCTGTTAGTATGATGGATAGTACTTAACTAAAAAAATTAGTAATTAACTAAGAAAATTGTTTAGTTGTCAACTAAGACAATGTTTTGATACATTTAAAAATAAATATTACATTCATTAAAAGAGCAAACTTGATCTTTGATTCTTTTTTCCATGTTTTCAGATAACATGTTTAGCTATCTTGACACCATTTTTTGTAAGAATAACTGAAAAAACCTTTGAGTTATTCAGCTAAAAATAGAGCAGGTTAAAATTGTTTTGTGTCAGACCCACTGTTTTCCCACCTGAGCAATGGTGAGAAGAAAAATATCATTTAGGCCTTCATTAAAAGTAATAGCACCAACATTCATACTCTGGCTTCCATCTTTAAACTCTATTCAAGAACCATCAAGAAAATGGTGAATAAGTTTAAAAAAGAGAGAACAGTAGAGAGGAGAACTGGATCAGGATGTAACAACAGAAAGAGAGATCATCATTTCAACTTAGAGTCAAAGAGATCAATTAGAAAAGATCCAACTCAATTCATAAGATGTTTGGCATGTGAGAGAGGAGTTTCAGCTATGATAGTCTAAAGAGCAGTGAAAAAAGACTTTAAAATGAAATCATTTGTGAAACCTGTGAGGCACCTTGTTACTTCAGGACAGAAAGTTAGAAGGTTAAAGAGGGGGAAGATCATTTTGAATAAATTGGAAAATGATCCTGGAATAATATATATATATATATATATATATATATATATATATATATATATTTGAACTGTATTTCAATATTCCTGAGCTTCCAATCCTTAGCTATGATTAATATGTCATTTTCACTTATGATCAATTTCATTACAATTCTTCTGTTAAGCTTGGAGTGTAATTATATATTCTTATTGGTCAAAGTAGAGCCCAAAAGTATCATAAAAAGCTCAGAGAATTCCATTAAAATATCATTGTTTCTAAGATAAAATGGTTATTACATGATTTGGACAATTTTCTGTTACATGTTTTGGACAATTTTCTGTTATACCTGGTTTATATATATATATATATATATATATATATATATATATATATATATATATATATATATATATATATATATATATCTATATATATATATATATATATATATATATATATATATATATATATTCTATAGCAGGTTATCTACTAGGTTAGCTGATTAGATTTTATGGTATAAATTTAAATAACTTTTGGAAAATTAAGCTTTTGTTATAATTTCTAATCTCAACTTTATTCATTCTCTCCCATTTTCTACCATTCATATTTACAAATAAAATATTTTATTTTCTAACAAATTATTTTGTAGTCAACTAATAAAATATTTTTTTAAATTTAAAAACTAAAAATATCATTAATTAAAAGAAAACATTTTATCCAGTAATATAGTTTGATAATACATTTTTATTCTTAACCAAATCAAATTCTTAAAGATTGTAATTCCTTTATTTTGTAATCAAATTATGAATTTTCTTCTTTTCAGACATTTTAATCTAATCTTAACAATAATAATATAACTTTACATTGACAGAAACCCTGTACCTTCCACAAATTTCATCAGAATATTAAAATATTTTTCTTACCTAAAGCAACAGTGCTAATCAGAAAAGAATCTTGGATATAATTAAAATTATTTTTAACATTTTCTTCCACTTCTGAAATTACGAAGAATGTTACAATCACCTAAAAAGAAAACAAAATTATAAATGAAAGTCATAAGATAATTATAAAAATACTTTTATGATAAAATTCTATATAAAATTCTTTCATAAATAATGTTAAACTTATAGGTTAGAGAGATTAGTTTATGCTACCGGGGGTGGGGGGGTGATTAGAAATGAAGTCATGATTTCTAAAGGGAATTAGTACAAAACAGAATGCAATAAACTAAACTGGAATTTGAACTCAATTTGTTGATTCTATTTTTCATTCTGATAACCATTACAATACCTACACATCTAAACAAACAATACAATAAGTAGAAAAGAATCCTTGTGAAAACAATCTGATTATATAAGTTTGTGCTTTTAATTGAATAACTCCAATGTTTTTAAACTCAAATGTGTAACATATCAATATGAACATTTACTGATGCGTACAAAAATGATTCCTGCAGTGTTGAAGATTTTAAACACAATCTGATATTTTTTATAATAAAAATAATAAAGAATATTATCTTTGAACTTTTACTTGACCTAACAAAATTATGATTACACAAATCTCCCCAAGTTTATGTAAGCTGTATTGAAAGTCACAATAAAAAGGATCTATCAGCCAAAGAGTCTGTCTTGTCTTATTTGGCAAATATTTTCTTTTTCATTTCAAGATTAAAATGTCTTAAAACAAGGACAAAGAAACTACAAATGTATTTTAAATGAAAGAAAATTTCTGGCTATAAACTTAAGACAGCACACTTTTTTTATTATTGTTTTTTCAATTTATTTCTTTTATTTCATTTTAATCTGTTTTGTTAAAAGCATAAAATGAAAATACTTACAGCCATAGTGAAAAGGCTTGCCTTAATAAAGGCAAGTATTGAGACGACAGGTTGGATGAGTTTGAAAGCAAAAATTATAAAGAAGGCAAGACTCCAAATGAATACAGGAATTACATTTATGTACCTGTGATTAGAAAGAAAGGAAACAATAATTAAGTGATGATAAGTAGTGAATTCTTCAATAAATAAGGAACATTTCTGGTCACATGAGACATTTGTGTTTGCCATGTAAACTAGTCTGGTGGTCAATTCTGTTTAATCTAAAGAAAGGTGATTGAATAACAGGTAAATTATGAAATATTAATGGAAATAGAAAATCTGTACAATTCATGAACTGGTAATACCAATTATAGGATTTCATATAAAATTCATATGTATGTTTCTGTTCAGTAGAAATATCAAAACAAATATTGTGACCTATAGGATATTGCTTAAAATATGATCTGATTTATATTGTAAATTTCTTTTTAAATTCATTTTTAAGCAGAATCTTGGATAGAATAAAAATATCCATATAAAGCTATAAAACTGCTGAACACTTGTAGAGTGGCATTCAAAATATTTACTAAGCCATATTCTTACAGTTCAGGGGTTTAATCTAAATACAATCAAATCTGAATGTCGAAATTTTGATCTTCTAAAAAGACATTGACATTGAAATGACAGATAAAAACATAGAAGTAAAAAAAAATTGTACTTTATTCCAAGCATTTCATTGTAAGCTCCACTCCCAGCAAGTGAATAGCCAATCAACATAGTCATCCTAAAAATATAAAAAGAAAAAATAATTTCAATTTTCTTAACACTAATGTTGTTCATATTTAAATTTCAGGACATGTTTTAATTATGAAAGATTTAATATAATAAACATTCAGTTCCTTTTATGTTTCTTTGTTCTTTAAACAATTCATTGCTTATATGACTTTGGAGAAGCAATAGGTTTGTTTATTTAAGTAAAATCACATATAAATATCCACATTGCTTTGTATAATGAGCCACTAGGATATGCTTTCCTTTTATATTTGCCGTGTGCCTTCAGGACATGGGTGATCATTGCTCTCCACAACTTCCCATCCTATTATGCCTAGTATACTACTACTTAAGTTTCAGGACTTGTTTTATTTATGAAAGATTTAATGCATAGTCAATTGATTAATTTCAATTGTAAAAATATTGCATTTCATAATAACATCTGTTGTCTTATATAATAATTTGTAATGACAATTCTCATAGAAATATAAATGGCATTATATAAATGTCCAAATATCCAAGGGACGAGTGAACATGTTCAAAGAAAAAAATATTGCAAGTTTTTCGTTTATATTAAAAAAAAACATGCTAAAATTTATGATTAATTTAGATAATATAAGTTCAGACAGGGAGATGAATTTGAAGACATTTTATCCGAGTTCCCAGACAGACACAGTTAGATTCTTCTCCTATGTGCTGTGTACCTTAGGTGACCATGGCTCTTCACAACTTCTTGTCCTTTGTAGCTCTAAGTAAGGTTTGTCTTTTTGCAATTCTTCCTAATTGCTGTTCTGTCATTAGCATTGTAGTTGAATTGTTCAAGACAATACATATCACTCATCAGTAAGCTTTAATATACTCGGATATTATATACTCCCACAAAGCGGAATATGGCACAAGGCCGGTTCAACGTGGGTCTTTCTGAGCTTGTAGGCTCGGGCAAAAATTTCTCATAGACCCCGTAATAACGAGGTCGGGTAGCTGTCTATTTCCCCAGACTAACCCTTCGGCACAGAGGTTGACACGCAGTGTATCTCAAATGCAAAGGTTTGGGATATTCTGCATATCAGCAGAGTTCTTTTGAATATATGTGTTCAGGACAGAGATCCATTAATGGGAGAAATGGATCATACCACATTCTTCCCTGCCTTATTATTATTACAGAGGGAAGAATTCCCTGAATCGAGAAAACATCCTTTGCTGTCTGCTAGGCCGTGGTGCATTGCCAGGGACATGGTAAGATTCTTTCTCTTTCTCGCTAGAACTGGATTTTATCTGGTTGCTTTTTTGTAATCTTATACGAGAGGCTTCCTCGTCCTCTGAAGTATCGGTAGGCGGTTGGGCTCTCTTCTGTGAAACCCGTTCATCACCACTTGAAGGACCAGAGATCAAGGGTTCCTCATAATCTTTATAAAGACATCATGTTTTTTCTTAGCCCTCACTTAGGCTTGTGGGTTCTGATTCATCCCCTGCTAAAGCCAAGTCCCTAAGTGAGATTGTGTCTTCCTGTCCATCAGGGTAGCAGACATGTGCATACTGGGGACTGGCATCTAGAAGCTCTATTTGATTCACCAGTGGTTCGTTATTATTTAGTCGTGTGTGTCTTTTTAGTAATATTACTCCTGTTTTCGAGAGCCAAGATGGTAGGGATGGTAAGGAGGGGTTGATCCGCCCTGGGCAGTACTTTTGGTCCACGGTGAGTTTTCCAGAAAAGAAAAAAAAAGAATAGCATAATTTCAATAATTTTTGAAAAAAAAAGAAAAAAAAAAGGGCAGCGATAAGGAAGAAGATAGTGTTCAAATGAAGCCAATTTCTCTTTGATGTGGTTGGCTCAAAGCCAGCCAAACAACAACAACAAAATGTCTCCAATATGTGCTGTCAGCTGGTGGGGATAAACCTCACTTACAAGACGTGAGCAAAAAGTGCAAAAAAATTTAAACATTTTTAAAGGTCTTGATGTGGGGTTGGATTAAATGAATTTAGTGAATCCACAGTTATTTCACACCGTATGTGAGAAGTCCAGACTTTGGTGTCAGTTCTTTGATTTTGATTTTTCATGTCTCTGAACTGTCAGTAAAAAAAAAATTAAATACGTGAACCAAATGTTTTTTTTTTTTTTTAATTTTATTTTATCATAGGCTTTAATAACGGATATCGTTACTTTTGATAAATTATAAATAGATAAATAAATTGAAATAATTCCAATGTTTTAAGGATATCACCTACACTCCAATTTTTTCTGGAAATATCAAACAGAAATTTAAAAGAAAATGGAAAATTAATATAAATATATCATATATTTATATTAATTTTCAATTTTCTTTTAAATTTTTTTTAACTTAAAAACATATATATGTTTTTAAGTTAAAAAAAAAAATGGCATTTTTTTCAGTTTTTCACGGTAGTAAAACAATGCAATGTTTTATTTTCTTCTTTAGACAGTTGAAGTTTTATTAAAGCAAAATAGACTAAGAATTTAAAGGTATGATAACATTTATTTCAGTTTTTAAAATTAAAATTTTTAATTCTTAGTCTACTACTTTGCTAATAATAACTTCAACTACGTAAAACAAAAAATTAATTTAAATAGACATTGCATTTTTTTTACATTGTTAACACTTTTAACTTAAAAGGAAAACGAACCGAGTTTTTGTTAACGTGGCATTTATTTAATTTATGACTTCTCACTTTTTAAAATGAAATAAATATTTAAAAAAACTGATAAATTATGAATTAAAAGTACAATTTTTTTTCTTTTTTATTTCTCTTTTTAAATAAAACAAAGGATATATAAACAAAAAGTTATTTTTCTTTTAATATCGTAAAAAGCTTTTAAAGTTTTCCCGTTTAGAAAAAAAAGAAGTAACATCTTCATTTTTTATTTTTACATATCCACAGTTTTATTTTTTAAAAATACTTAAATGAAAGTGCAATTGTACTTTTACTTCATAATTTATCAGTGAGACGTTATAAATACCATGTTAACAGAAATACGGAAAAACTGGCATCACATGGGCATTTAGATTGAGAGATGGATAAAAATGGGTGTACGAATAATTTCGTCATTGACTATATATATATATATATATATATATATATATATATATATATATATATATAAACTTTAAGGGGTTAATGTGCATTATAATATTGTATTCTTTCTGGGGGGGGGGGCAGCAAAAACACTAGCTACGCCACTGACCATAGCCCGTTTACGAAGGCATCTTGGATCAATTCGGTTCGATATTGTTCCACTGATACCAAAGAAAATGAACAGTCCTTATTTAGTTTTATCAAGGCTTGATAAAATTCGTCAATGGAGTCTGAGGGCAGTTGATGCTTTGTAATCAGTAAGTGTCTTGAGACTATTTAGTTTTTCTTTTTAATGTAGAGATCCTGTCCAGTATTGTTAAAGGAAGATGTGTCTGTGAAATACCTGTAAACTTGTACTGAGACATATTTAGTGAGATAGCTTATTAGAACTTTGGTCACAGTACTAGCTCAAGAAGTTCATTTCTTTTATGAATATCTGCCTTATTTGTTATACTTATTATATTTATGCACACCTTTCATTAAACCATTTCTTTTTGGCCTGCCTGAATTTGTTTCTAATTTCTTTATGTAATTTCCTATATTCTGTACCATACCTTGGTATTGTTTGCTGTTTCATTTTCATCATATCAACAATTTCATCTGTTGTCTACTCCTTTTTTCCTTGTTTAGTTTTCTTTGGGATAATCTAGTTTGCTGATGTCACTAACTCTTCTCTTCCAATTTGAATTTCCATTCTTACTTATTTCCTTGTATCTGCTTTTAATACTTTCAGTAGATATTCTCTTTGTAACTGTTGAATTGCACTTTGGTTCCTGGTCTTTTTCAACTTTCATAGTTTCACTTTAAAGTTACAAATAACTAGAAGGTGGTCACTCCCACAATCGACACTTGGGTATACACTGTAAAACTGCATTCCTGAATCTCTTATTGATTATTATATAGTTGATTTGATTCTTTGTTTCCTTTTGGGTTTCTCCATGTCCATAAATGTCTTGGGTATTCTTGAAACCAGGTGTTACCAGGGATTTTTATTTTCAGTTATATGGTGAATACATTAACTCGGAATCAGCCTCTTCCTTCTCTCTTTTTTTTTTTTTTTATTTCAGAGCTAATCACATTTGTTTTCATATATGTTCAAACTTTTTGCCTATTTACTGTGAATTAGTATTTTACAGCTACTTCAGCATGTATCAAGGGAGGTAATTCTCCTAAAAGGAAATGCATGAGTTGTACTCCTTGAAATTTACTTCATACTTCCACGAAATACTTTCAGGTTTTATTTCTTCTTTATATTTTTTAAAGATTGTTTGAGTTTATCAGAATTCAATTGAATGCTGTCTGTCTTAATTTACAGTTCAACTTTAAAATTGGAAAATCAATTTAACAGAATATTTTTTACGCATTTGAATAAAAGATAAAATACAAAAATGTTGAAAAATGAGAAAATATAGGATTTATTATCTTCAAATTTAATTTTCATCTGTTAATAAAGTACTTGTGGCTTAAGTGGGAACCAAGCTGATAGTAACAGAAGAAAGGGATAATTATATTGGGGAGAAATTTGAATGATCTAAGTAAATTCCTTTATTTTAAAAGGAATACATATTCTTTTTGTATCTTTTTTTAAAATCTTTTTTGGACTGAAGTTAGTTAATTGACTGAAGAAATAATCTGTTTTATTATAATCACAGAAATTACTGATTGTATAGATTGGTACTCACATTTTGAAAATAGAAAGGATGTCAAAAACATGTCTAATGCCATAACACAGAAACATCTCCCCTAAGAGATGAAGGTCAGGTGACCTTATAACTTTCTGTTCTGCAGGTAAGACCTGACATGCCAATACTGGACCTGAACAAAAACATATACAATTCTTTAAGGCACAACATTAAACTCATCATAAATGAAAAACTGATAAAAAATAGCAGTGAATTGTTAATAAAAATTTTCATGGTTCAATAACAAGCCGGGATATTGTTTATAAACTGATGAGTGCTAATAGCTCAAGGAAAAAAAAAAAAAAGAAATAGAAAGTGAAAAGGCAAAATCTCTTCCTGTGATTATTGTATCAAAGTTTACCTTCATTCTCTGGTAGATCTTCCAGTTCATTCCATGTGTCTTCATCCATCATCTCCTTCAAGAGCAGCAATTCAGTTTGAAAAAAAAAAATGAATTTATTTCTAAGACAGCTTCAAAGAATTTCCATCCCAAATTCAGTGAGTAACTTAGATGATTTAAGAAAGACATACAAATAGGACAAAGCTTTTGTCAGCAATTGTGAATATCAGACTCCTTTTAGCCATGTTGACAGTTAACAAAAAGAGAAAAAATGAGATTTGCATCATTATGCTAATGAATCAAAGAAATACAAACATTTCTAAAAGACTTTAGTCAAAGTTTGCATCAGTTGCCTCTCAGCAATTTAATTTCATCTACATGTTAAGCAAATAGTTTCACACAATATTTAGAGATATTTGCTCATTGAATTACAGAAATAATTATCTGTTCTTGCACATAAAATCAGAATAGCAAGCATCCTAGACAGAAGTCTCTGATATTATGCTTTGTGTCCTTGGGGAACAACTGTTATTTCCTACTTACTTACACCTAGAAAATATGAAAATGACTAATATTTCCTATAAACTTTGTTTTTGTGATCAGAACAATGATATTTATGAAATTTACCTATTCTCATTGTGGAAACTGGTGAATGTGAATATTCTTGTTCACACAAAGTAGGAACAAAACAACATGATTCAAAAGTACTATTTATTTATTTTAGGATTACACAAGACAGTAGACAAAACATTTACAAGTGAGTAGTTTTTCACGATTTAAATTTATACTGTAAATTACTTCCATGAATCAGCCTCCAAATATAGTCTCCCATCATGTTTTCATTATATTATTTTTGTTAGTGGCATTCAATGTCCAGTATATCCAGGTGGAAGAACTTGCATTGCTCCTCTTAGTAACCCCCCCCCCTATTTTCTTTGAATTTATCAAGATGAGTGTCAAGAATGTGGAATTTGAGGGTCATCCTGCAACCCATTTTACCATATTTCTTCACCAGGGTCTCAACAAACTCCACATAGTTTTCAGCATTGAACCACTGCAACAAAGCTGTTCCATGCTACTTTCTCAATCCTAGAGGATTTCTTAGGGAACTCTTTGCACTTTATGGTTTCCTTTATTCATGGTCTGGTGAAAATACAGACTTTGATTTTTTTTCTGCATACAGCTTAATGTAGAAGTCTGGAACGTACTTGAAGACAGCAGACTTCTTATCTACAGCTGTGACAAATTGTTTCATAAGGTTCAGTTTTAAGTTCAGTAGAGGCAACAATACTTTTCAGGGGTCCAACAGTGGCTCCCATTTTATGCTGTTCCTCCCCACACTGAACTTGGTCTGCTGTGGCCAATTCTGCCTGTAGTAGTGTACTGCTATGTCCCTGCTGTCCCAAAGGCAAATATAACATAAAAGCTTGGTAAAGCTGCCCTGGAGACCATCAAGAAGGCCACCATTATGAAGTCTCCAATAACCTCCCAACTGTACATTTCATATTTCAAGGTATCTAGCAAGATATTGACAGTGCTGCATTCCTCTTTAAGTTGTATCAAGTTAGGGTAAGAGGTGGATATGTATTCCTGTTAATAAGCAGTGCTCCTGGATGAACTGTTGATGAAGAGGTACCACCCGTTGGGGTTACAGGTGATTCCAGTTGCCTTGAACAGACCAGTCACATTGTGGCAGAAGCAAAACCCATCTTGATGGGTGAAAAAGCTTGAAAAGCACTGGTGATGCTTTCTCCAATCTTCAAATTGCACACTTTCATCTAACAAATTCCACTGCTTAAGTCCCAATGTCAAAATTGGACTTTGTGAGACCAAAATCTCTGATCAGGTCATAGAGGACTTTTTAGTTGTGATAGTATGAATTTTTCTCCTCAGCTGCACCTCTGTAATCTGGATCAATGACTTCATCCTCTTCTGAATTGCTGTTCTCTTATGAAAACAGATGCCCTCTCTTTGAAGGAGTGGGTACAGGGAGCTCAGGGTATGTGGAGCTAGAGTGATGGATCATAGAAGGTCTGGATATATGATAGTAAGTGCATTTTTGCCAGCTTGACATTTGGAAGGGTTCATCATACAAAAGAAGCAATTGTTTGAGTGGACAGTTGGTTCCCTCCAAATTCATGGGATTGTGAATTATGTCTCTATTTTCCCCTCATCCTGGAAAAGAACAAAATAAAATATGTGTATAAAAAAACAAATATTTTTCATACAGTCTTACTGAAAAATTCTAAAAAATTATATTTTGGATTTTTGAAATTTCTAAAATCATGCATTGGATATAGAAAATACTGATTTTGGATCCCGGTTGACATAGCAAATGCCACAAAAATACGAAATCTTGAATACCGAAAATCCCTAATATTCTGTATTTTATGGCTCTTGCAAGTTATGAACTATAGAAAACATCCATAATACTGTGGATACTAATGTGCGATTGTTGAAACATATTTAATATATATTTTCCAATAACACTAGTTTAAAAAAATAAAAAAAAAAATATTTAAATTAAAAAAATCCAAAAACTTTTACACTCAAATATTCCACTATCCAAAAGAGCAAAACTTTCCATCTTACCTTCTATAGATTTTTGCAGATTTCACAGGTGAAATGAGGTGCCCAGGGTTTGTCTTGATTTCTGACAGGTATGCGGAGAAATGCTTTGTAGGTCTCTCACATTTTAGTAGGCATTGACACAGAGGACTTTTTCACTTTTTCATGATAAGTTTGCCACAGACATAGCAAAATGCATCTACCAGATGTTTATAATCTCTTGATACCATCTGTGATGAATGCATATATCAATCCATGAATTTATTCCTACTTATTACATATAGAAATATTTTCAGTAACTTAAAACAAAAAAAAAAAAAACAAAGCTTTATTGTGCTTAAGAAAGATGAATCAATAAGTTGATGACATGAAGTTATTAGCTGAAATTTGAATTGAAAATTTCACTGTGTAATGTTTGATCTGTCTGATTATTAAATTAAGTACATTGATAAATACAGAAAAATATTTCAGCTACAAAATAAATACTTTTTTCTTAAAATTAAACAATTAAGACAGTATTAATAAAATAATGTCATATTTAGAATTTATGTAGTTGCATACTTTTCAATTTAAAACTAAATCAAAATATTTTAACTTTCATATTATGGATACTGAAAAGTTCACAGTCTAATGCAAAAGGGATTTTAAAAAAATTAAAATAATCTGATGTTTATGTCATTTGGTCAGATTTTGGGATATTTGTTCAAGGTGAGAAAAAATTGTGTTTCCTTTTGACAACAAAAATTAGATATTAAACTTAAATCAGAAAAATACCGAAAAATAATTTTTTATTTTCTAAATTAAATGTTTTTTTTTATTATTAGGCTATGGAATTATTGATGCACCTTTATAATTCTTAAAATTAAATGGTTAAATCAATATTATAAATAGTCTCATATGAAGGATTTATGTAACTGAAGAAAATTTTAGACTATGATAGAACATTCTGACAAGTATATATGTATATACAAAGTGGGGGGATGAAAGGTTCTCAGCCTGATTAAGAAGGTAATTAAATATTCTAATGTTTGGTTATTTGATCAAATTTTGAAAAGTGGGTCAGGCTGAGAACTTTTCAGCAGCCTCTCATACATTGTCATAAAATGTTGAATGCAACAGTTTCACTTGCAACAAGTTTGAAATTTTACTGGTATACAACAGTTACAAACAGTGACTTCTGTCATTGATTACCTCCAGTCTTATGATTTGTATAAATAAGTCACGCCATCTTAGCCAAAACAGAAAAACTTTTCAGTTATGTTCAATAATGACACATTAAGCCAAACTAGACTCTGAGTTTTCATTACAAAGGGTTAAGCTAACAGATTATAAAAAAGATAATTAAAGCTATAATCAATGGGAGGAACAAACAAGAAAGAACTGTTAATTCAAACCATAAAGTGAAGTTTCAAGATAACTTCAGAATGGCTTGAAACCAAGAATATAAATTTATATTGCTATAAATGCATTCTTGGATAACTTTGAGTGTCGAACATTTATTAAAATGGGATGTGTCAAAACCAAAGACAGCTGGGAAAATTGAAAAAGATTATTATCCTAACATGCTAAAATAAAAAATATATTCAACATTTATGAAAACTGTATGTGTTGGCACAACTTGGTTGGAAAAAAAAAATCAAAAACAGAATATTGAGTCATGACCATTCTCTCAAAATTGATTGTTATTAGATTTCATCCTCTGTTTTTTTTTCCCCAAGAACTTGATGGGCATTGATGGGTAGCCTGGAGCTGGCAAGAAGGTGAAATTTCAGACTCATAAAAATAGAAATTTGCATCTTGAGAAACATCTGTGAGGTTAAAGGTAATATTTAATTCTCTATATTAACCAGCACTTACAGACAACAGGAGGAGAAGAAAAGTTGGGATCTCACCGTTCACATTGGGGATAGAGAAAGAGAACCATGATGAATCTAGTCATAGTCACTGAGAAAATTAAGATCCAAACCATTAAGGCTAGCTGCAAGTTGCAGATAAAGTTGATAATACAAGTGATATTAAGATGAAATGATTAAGAAAATTTCCTTTAAATGATTATTGTCAAATGTGAATATAGCTGAAGAACACACCAAAATGCTGACTGAAGTCACCTAAAGCTTTATGTTTGATGTTCTTTTTATTGTTCTTTATTAACTTTTCTGTTTATTCAACTAGAAGTAAATTTCCTTTAATTGTATTCTAGCATTTAGTTATTATTTTCAACAAGTGAATTCACACCCTTTTGACTTCTAGTGAAGCAGCAACAGAAAAACCATTGCCTAACAATGAACCACTAGATGCTTACAAGTTTCAAGCTTGACAATTGTAAATAAAACTAAGTAGAGATAACTTTTAAAAAGTCATGTATCAATTATTTATATTATGAACAGGACATCCCTTCTGAACTGATTAAAAAAATCATGATTTTTCAATTCTAATAAATGTTATGACTTGAAAGGTTAACAAATGCTAATCTATAAAAATATTCCCTCAAAGTTTTACCCTATTTTTTAAGGTCAATTTAAGTGGTGTCATTATTTTTAAAATGACCAGTTTAGCAGAAACATCTTTTTATTTTATTAATTCTAACAACAAAAAGTGAATTTCACTTTTCTAAATTTCTTGAGAGTTGAAAATTGAAATCAGATTTAAAAAATTGTTTTATCCATGTTGGTCTTTGTTAACTTTGGGACAAATAGACAATAGTAGATTTAAAAAAGAACAATTTACTGCATCTCTATTACTTAACCATTGTAAAACATTGACTAATTTAATTGACATTTTTAAACTTTATAAAATATGAGAAACAAAAGCCAAAACTTATCAGAAATTTTTTATGTGCAACGTTCCTTCAGGACCTTGGCAAACATGGCGTTTCACAACTTCCTGTCTTGCTGAAGAACACACACAAAAATACTGCTCAAAGTCACCTAAAGTTTTATGTTTGATGTGCTTATTGTTTTTTTTTATTAACTCTTCTGTCTATTCAACTTTAGATCATTCACCATCTCTCTTTGATCTTGTTTTGTCTCCTATTCACATAGACTCATTAAGTACATTGCTTGGTGTTTCATGCTGCTTCTGTAGGTATTCAATATATTCTGTAGGTATTCAATATATTCTTCATGCTATTTTTTATCCCAAAAATTTCAGTTGTCGATTTCTGATTGTAAGTATAAGCTTTGTTAATTTTTTTCCTAAAAATTTCCTCAATGATCACATGTTCAGTCCATGGTCAGCATTTGTCAGTAGAACCACATTGCAGCCAATTCAAGTCTACCTTTATCTGTAAGGAGATTATTGTTCAGTATTCACTGCTATATAGGTTACATAGCAGTTCAACATGCTTTTCATTGTTTTTAATGAATTTTTATTATCTTCCATTATTTTGATTAATTTCTGGAAGACATCTAACACAACTGTTTAAAAGCCTTGTTTTTGTCATATACGAAAATCCAAAAATCTCATTCGTCAGTAACATTTTAAATACCTCATAGAATGTAAAGTTCTTAAAGCAAACCTATACCAAACTGTTTTCCTGAATCCTTGATGACTTGGCTGTCTGAAAATGACAACATCAAGATGAAATAATGGAAACTGATCGTGAAAAACACAATTATGCGCAACAAGTTTTCAATCAGTCAGTAAACTTCTGGACTTTTTCGGGTGACGTTATAGGATCCAGACGGTTATTGTTTGCACATGGAATTATTCACTGGTAATTAATCTTCGATTTGGTTGTGGAAAATGTCACTCGGTGGTTAGCATTAAGAAATTATGCCCAATTTTCTGAGAAAAATCACCATTTTTTATGAATAAATGATATCATTTAAGCTTCTTCCGTTTCTCCTTAATTTGGTGTGAACATCATTGAATAAAAGGAACGGCTAAATGTCCCAGCAATGGGAAATATGAAAGATATGCAGTGAAAAAAACAATGTTGTCTGCTAAGTGTTGTTGTCATCATCTAGGTCACGGGGTGTTAAAAACAACACAAAACACATGAAGCCATTGTTCAAACATAGGTTATATCAAGTTCTACTAATGTTGACCCTTTTTTTTTTCACTCTTTGTTCTTATCTGGGAGTGGTGGGTTTTATTACATCATGTTCTAAATGTTTATTGCTGGCTGGCTGACCTTTGACCCAGAGATGTCAAAGTCAATTTGCTTTAATTTTCCTTATCGCTGCTATTTTTTGGAATAAAAATAAAAAATATATATAAAAGTATGAAAAATCCATTTTTTGGGGAGAAAATAAACTGTGACAAAATGACTTTTGCCATTTTTGTGATGATATTTACTTGGGATAGAAAATTTTTACCATAGCAAACCTGAATTGACTTTATTTAAGTTCAGTGGGGCTATAGGAAACCTCAAACAGCTGTGATAATTTCTATGTCACATTTTTCATCTGTCAGTACATTATTCTAATTATTTTAACATCTCCACTATATAATTAACACCTTGGCCTGTCTCTTGTATTGACAACCTCCTGGAGTGATATTGAAATGGGTCATGCCTAATTTACATATGAACAACTTGATTTATATGCATAGTCTTTCTACTACTGTAGGGGGCATTAAAGTGATAGACTTCGAACCCTACACTTCACAACACATCCATTCTATCATCTTAAATATAACAGTCCTTTCTCCTTGCTTTCTATATCTAACAGTCCTTTCAGTTTCTGTTTGAGTTTGAAATCAATATGTCACCTGTCTATATTATGTTCCTAAAGATAACAAGACAACTGCTCCCTGGACAGTTGCCTCCTGACAACTGTCCACTGGACAATTGTCCCCATAGGAAAACTGCCCTTGAAAAATGGAATGGAAAAACTTTTTAAATTTCTTGAAGCATTGAAAAGGAAGCAGGCACTGAAAAAGCATTACCATCTATCAGATGCTTACAGAACATCTAGCACCAACTAAGCGAAAATGTTATCAAGATTTGACAGTCAGAATATCAAATATTGTACAAGACTTTGAGAACTGCCATATGTTGGACTTTTTGAGATGTTTAGCTCACAATTCACAACTTTTGTAGAATAATTATAGTGATATAAAAATATAAATCTTATTATTGGATAATTCTTCTTACTGGATAACAGATAAAACATGAAAATAAAACTCTAATTAGTTTTATTAGTATTTATCTCCCCACTAGTTGCACTTTCTTTTCTCTTAATGGGAGCAATGGGGGCAGTTGTCCGCTTTCAGTTCTCCTGATAGCGTTGTTAAATTATGTCTGCTACTCATAAATCCTGAAAGATATTCTAGTTCTCCTAGACTCATCTTACTCTATGGGTTAAATAAATCCATTGAAAAAAATGCATTTTTTTCTTACTCCTCTTTCCATTCTTGTCTATTTACTGAACATTATTCTCTCTCTACATACAGGCTGCTTGGTTCCAGTGAACTAATATTAAGGTTTTTGGTCACTGAAAAAAAAATACAAGCATGTTTCTTCTTGCATATATTTTGTTTTGATAAAGAGTGTTTTTAAAACCAATTACAATTGCTAACTATTGACAATTCAAACAATTACTAAAAATCATTGTGCAATTGTATGATGTTGATTATAAGATTTCACCAAGTTATATACAGCATTTGAGAAAATTATGCCAATTTTAAAGAAATATCTGGTCATGTTAAGCATCATCTCTTAAGTTTAATTCATCACTCTTTAATTCATCATTTCATTAGAAATTCTTTAGAATATATCAAAAACTGGATTTACTCTGAAACTAATGAAGCTTAAACTTCAGGACCCCTAATCAGACTGGTGCTCCTGAAGCAACTTTTTTAATGAGTGAATTTTTCAACAAAATTGATGTTTTTTAAGTGTTTATGATTAAAATAAGGCCATTTTAGTGATATTCAATCATAAGCCAATAGGTTATGATCTCAAAATTTACCTGTTATGAGTCAAATCTCAAAATTCTTGGGGGTTTACATTGCCCAAACCCTCAACTGTATGACCTTGTTGAGCTCACTAAAATCTATTGATTCATAGACTATATTTTGGTAGCTGGATCCTCAAATCTATTGTTGTTGGTTGTGAAGTTGCTCTCATATCTGTTTAGGCTTCAGGGCCCCCAAAAATGTCTGTCACTACGCTTAGGTTTGAATAAGAAAATCAGTTTTGCTCTCAAAAAAACTGAACATTCTTTAGTTTAAAGCAAATACAGAAATTATATTCAGCTGATTTACATTTTGAAAATAAGAACATGTCTTGCATGTTTTTAAGTCTACCAATTTGTCCATGTATTGAATATTGCTGTGACATCTGGTCTGGTGCTTCTGCTAAATATCTAGAAATTCTTGACAAAATTCAAAGAAGAATCTACAATGCTATCAGTCCTAACCTGACATCTCAGCTTTAGTCATTTTACTACTTTTGTAACATAGCTTCTCTGTGTCTTTTCTATAAATAGTTTCATGGTAACTGTTCTGATGAACTTTCCTCTTTGGTAACTCAACTTTAGAAATTACAGTACTAGATTAGTAGTTAGGATTCACCATTCTACAGTTGAAATTGCTAGATGTAAACATAAGTTCTATGCTGACAGCTTCTTCCCTCACACTTCTTGCTTGTGGAACGCTCTTCTGACTTCTTGTTCTCCAGTCAACTTTAATCTTCAAAAATTTAAATGCAGCATCAATCCTTATCTTCAGTCTCTATGAACCCTGTGATTTAATTATCCTTTCTTTTTAATAATGTTTTTTTCATATTTTTTTTTCTCTCTCAGTAACCCCTTGCATCTTAGTGGCTTTATTGCTTTGCTTAGTGTAAAATAATTTAACAAAAAATTGTAACATTTATAATAAGTGTTTTCCAATTTTTAAAAAATTTTCATTCAATTTATCAAATTTAGATCAGTGGTCATGACCTTTGAAGGAAAGTCAATGTCAGCCATTTGTTCAAAGTTGGAAGTTAAATTGATCAGAAAATAAGTCTGAAATTATCTTTTAATCATTAAAATTGCACTAATCAATTTAATTTACTTAACAACTTCAGTTTTAATAACAAATGGTAGATTACCTGTGTTTGTACCTAGGCTAACATTATTGGGGGAAGAGGTCTTAGATTCAAATTAATATGGTAAACCACTTATTTTAAATTTCATTACAAAATATCACATCTTCAGATGTAACATCAAAGGTTACATCTGCAGACATGTTCCACAAAAGACCAGTCTCTTTACTTACCTCAGAATGCAGTGATTTTCTTTCAAATTGCCTATCATTTTGTGCTTCAGACGTTGCATCTGAAGAATTCTGTGGCGGATTCTCAATATCTTGAGGTGCTTCTTGGTTTTCCTAAAACAGGATTTAGAGTTTGAATATTAAAATAAAAAACACATCATGACAATCAACATCAGAAATAAGTGCACATCAGAAAATTTTGAAAATTTTTATTTTTTCCTATTTTTATATTTTGGAAAAACTTATCTTTTTTAAAAAAATGTAAATACTGATAGGCTGGATTTCAATAAGCAATAATTATGTTGTGGCATATGTGTTCATATCAGAATGTTGCTAGTGTGGATAGGTGGTAGGATAATTATTTTATCAGAAACATAGGACATAAAAATGAACTGACTCAAGGGTTAAAATAAATAATATATTTATTTTCTTTAAAGTGATGAGTGAATCCTTTGGCATTCAGTGTGACAAAAAGTTTGTTAATTAGGCAGATATTGGGAGCAATCTAGAGAAAAATCCATTAGTGGTCATTTAGAAGTAAGACCATGATAGGGGCAGTAGTTATCAGAAATTAGGTCAATATCAATCTGCTGTTTCTTCTCAGCTCTAAACAGGACAGAAATTTCATTAGCAGATAACCTCTCAGCTGCTTCTTCACATGTCACACATGGCTGATTTCTACATGGTTGCATTCTTTTGTTCCATCCTCTTCTGCTGTCCTTTTGATCTCTTCTGAGTCGTCAGGTTTTTATCCTTTTAAATCAACTCAAGAATTTGGCACAAACATCAAAATGTCTGTTTGTGTCAATTTTGCTGATTAGCTAAATTATTTTATTTTCTGGTGTTCCTTTCTTTTTCATTTTTTTTTTTTATAATGGAATTTATGCATGGAGCCTCCCTGATTTTTGGTATTTTTCAGTTACAAATGACCCATCTCTGTTCTTGCAAATTTCCTGTGTTTTTGGCTGGGTTCAGTCTTTTCTTCTTTTTTCTCTTTTTATTCGAGGGTTGCCTTCTCAGTTGAGTGAAGTAAAGAAAGAAGTTTAAAGAGAGAGAGAGAGAGAGAGAGAGAGAGAGAGAGAGAGAGAGAGAGAGAGAGAGAGATAGATAGATAAAGTTTTTAAAGGAAAGTGTAAATGTCTTATTTTAATTTGAATTCTTTATATTTTTGTTTATATATTTTATTTTCATCTTTTATTTTTATCAGTACTCATTACATTATTGTAAATGAACTGGTATGTGAAGTTCTTCCACATACCGTGTTTCTTTAGATCTTTAATTTCCAGATAAACACACTTGTTTTGATTCATACTACAATGTTTGCCTGTTCAGTGGTTACAATAATTTCCAGATTTCCAAGAACTCATTGAATGAAAATAAAAATATTTTAATTAAAAAAGAAAAAATTGTTTTATAATGGAATATACTGGGTTGGAACAAATGTTTGTAACATTTTTCAGTAGGTGGCATTTGAACATATGATTTAATTTCAAACATGACCAAAATTTATGACATATATACATGTACTGAAAGGTGACATTTCAACATATATTTCTAAATGATTCATGTGTGTATTGTGAATTATAATGGATTTTATGTTAAATGTGAAAATGGACAACACTAAGATGCATTTTCATCACTAGGTGATCTTATTTCCAGAAAAGAAATAAGAAACACTGCACAGACAGCAACATTGATATGTGCTGTTTATGGAGATGGTGCCATAGATGAAAGTACTGTTACTTAGTGGTTCAGTAGGTTCAGTAGTGGAAATTTTGATCTGGAAGAAAAAAATTATCCAGATCATACAAATTGGGACATTGCAGAAATACTCCGCATATCTCATATGAACATTATAAGGCATTTGAAAACACTTGGATATATATGATATATCCATTATGATGTTTAGATGACTCATGATTTAATAGAAAAATAAATTTAATGTATGATATTCTTACCTATAATCATCTGCTTAAATGCAATAAAAACAACCCATTTTTGTAAAGAATGATCACAAGAAATTTAAAAGAGAATGTTTAAAATGATATATAGCAAAATGGGTACTGGGGAAAATTAAATGAGCCTCAGAAAGTGATACTGTGTTTCTGGTGGAATTGGAAGAGAGAATTATATATTATGAACACCTTACCCCAAATCAGACATTGAATTCAGACAAGTACTGTTCCCAATTAGACTTATTAAAGTCAGCAATCGATGAAAGGCATCAAGAATTGGGGAACTGGAAGGATATCATCTCCCATCAAGACAACAAATATCTCTGCAAATCCAGCAGAAATTGGAACACATTGGTTTGGATGTCATACTACATCTGCTATACTCAAATGATCTTGAACCTTTGGATTACCATATTTCAATCCCTACAAAATTTTCTTAAATGAAAAACTTTACTGGAATCCTGTAGAACTACAAAGACCAGTTTATCACCCTGAAATATGTCAAATTCTGGGAGGATGTAATTATGAAGCTGCTTTAAAGATAGCGAAAGATAGTGTAACAATATGGCATATATCGAGTTGAATAAATCCATGCACAGATAAATAAATATTGTCTTTTCATTTATAACTGATACAAACTTTTGTTCCAATCCAATCCAATTTCTCTAGGAAGGTACAGAATGTCTTAAAAATCCAGGGTAACTATTTCATTGTCTGAATAAAGTTTTTATATATCTCTGTGAATAATATTTTTTTCATCAAAAGCATGTTGCAACATTTAACATGAAGATCCTATCACTGTATAATAATTTAATATAAGTTACTCATGATATCAAGACTATGAAACTTGATGAAAGTTTTAAAAGAGAAGAAAAACATTCTTTAGAAATAGAACTGAAGAATAAATTGAAACTTTGAATAGATGAACTTGTAAAAGATTTGTAATTATTGATGAGCTAAGATTCAAGGAAATTAATTCAAACTTGTAAATCCATATTTAATGAAGAAAATATTTAAATATCAACAATAACAATAAATAAAGCAATGATAAATTCATTCATACTTCAGGTTTTATTTCATTATTTTTTTTCAATTCTGGATTTCTGAAAATCAAAAACATGGCAAAAAATGTACATTTTTAATTTAAATGATATAGCATTTTACTTTTAGAGTGAAAGAAAAATATAGTAAAACCTGAAAGTAATACTGAAAATTAAAATCCAAATATTTTAGAAAGACTAAAAACACAAAAACTATACTTGAAAATTCATTTAAAAAAATTATATTGAATGAATAATTCTAATATCCTTAAATTCTGTTCTTTAAAATAAATTATAATTAGACAACATATCTAATTTTATTGATCAATAAGAATATTCTGATAATGGGTTTGGGTGTTACACTATTTGATAGTAAGTTATTCTATTTACATAAAATATGTATGACTCACTGATTCATTCTCTTTTGTTTCATAAAAGGCACGTCTATATTAAATTGATGACATAAGCTTACATTATTTTAAGAGTAAAACAAGTTGTTCAATTGATTTTCTTAATTATAAACAAGCATAGATGTTTAACATAATATTTCAAACACTGTAAGGCCATAAACTAAACACCAAATTTTATGATTTTATTGAGTGTTCTTCAAATATTTTTGGTTAATTTGCATTTGCTGAGTAATGTTTTATCTCTATTGTGCTTTTACCAATAATATAAGTTATAAAAATCCAAATTTTTCAATAACCTCCACCTGTTGTTGAGTTCATTGTTATATAAATCTTTATTATGATGAAAAATGAAATGAACAACTGTGAATTTGTTCCAAAATAAGATAGAGAAAAATTAATGGATGACATTTCTCTGGATCAACGAGTGAATGACAAAGTTACTTCTCATCTAGTATAATCTTTTTTTAATTACAATTTTAATAATGTTTAAATTTTACTCCTGTCTTAATGATAAGTCTGTAAGAAATGTTTTAGCTATGATAGCTACCTTGAGGTAGCAACATCTCTAACAAAAGAAACATGAATAAACACAAACATGGAGTTTTAGAAGAAACAATAACAACTCCTTATTAGGTGGAACATTAGAATTGTGGAAAAGAAAAAAGGTGTAGTTTATTTTACTAATCAAAAAGAGAATTTATTTTAAATTAAGGCAGAAGTTTTATTAGCAACCTTAATAATGAGTAGCTGTTATGACTCAAAAGTTTTAAAAATTTCTTTCTCTTTAAGTTTTAAATATGGAAAACCTTTTGGAAAATAAAGTACTTTTTAGTTTAATATTTGAATTTCTTTGCAGTTCTGTTGTTGTTTGTTATTTTTGTCTTTAAATAATTTTTTCTTCTCCAATTATTCATGTGAATTATGAGATTCCCAAAGTCTATTTTCTGACATCATGGTATACATTAAGCAATTCAACACTGACAACTATCACACTGTATATTACTTTTAATTATTCATGAAACCTATTTTTAAATTTATTATGAGTTGATTAATTCATGAATAGATCCCAACAAAATCATAATCATTGTTGAAATCATCCTTTTAAATTTATTTCTCATAGCATATTACTTTATCAGCAAAACATCAATTTCTTCAGTCAAATGGAAAGATGATGATTTCTTATGGCAACTAAAAAAAGGTTCAATTTTATCAGCAGAGAAGAAACATTTAAAAAAAGTTAATGGGAGACCAACCTTATCACATTCAACTTGAATAGCATAGGCTTTCTGCAGTATCTCAACACCAATAAATATCACTAGGGCCTGAAAGGAAAAAAGATTATTTTTCCTTATAAAATCAGAAATAAAGAAATGCCCCCAAACAATTTAACTTCTTTAAGTAAATGAGAAAAATTTTACAAAAAGACAATCAATGTAAAAGGGTTAAGTTAATATCTTAATTTTGCTATAATGCAAAAGTATCAGTTTTTAAACATTCAACGTTTTAAGGAATGAAGACATATTTAAAGACAGAAGCCATAAGAAGAATTTTTTGGCACATTGTTATCTCAATTTATGAGCAAGAATTAAAATATTTGACTCCAGATCCAAAAAGAAGAATATTGTTATATCAATTATTACGAAACCCACTCAGATATAAGCAGTTTACACAAAGCTTTTAAAAAGTTTCACCATAAGTTTTAATAAAGTATAGACTTCCATGATTTAAAACACTAACCCAGATTAATAATGTTTGAAGGACATTTTGATTTTATTACATATACTTTTCAATTGTAAGAAGTTTTTATAATTAAAATGAACAATTACAATTCTATACATGTATGAATTGCTCTTAACACAACATTGAATGAAATAAACTTTCCATATGCAAGAAATCTACTGATTTTTGCAATAGATAGAAATGTAGATAAAAAAAGCACATACCTGCATAGAAAAAGCAATTATAAAGACCACAAGAAATGGGTAAAAACCAGAATTATACAGAGTTACAGGTAATCCTGGAATTAAAATCAAAAACACTTTTCAAAACTGGTTCAAAATCATTTTAGCTAAGTTAATGATTATTATGGCACATTTTTTCTTCATGACTTCAGGCCAGTTTCTAATTTTCAAAAGAGAGGTTATTGGGAACATAAGCACATCTAATAGATTGTAGGTAACCCAGTGGCAAGGAAAGATAAGTATAGAATTTGATTAAAATTTTATTAAAATGTTTAGCCAGTATCTATTATTTTCTTTAAGTATTATCTTAGCTGGAAATGGTGATATGTTAGAAAAATCTACTTTTGATCAAATTGAATGTTGACAGTTGATTCTATAATTCTTCTAGATGATGTTTGATGAATAAATTTAACCATTTTGGCATTTTAAAAACATTTCCTTATCACCTAAGTAACATATATCTTGTTACACTTTTGGTTATAAGTATTCACTATTCTCTTTTGGTATGTGATTTATATTTCTCACCATAAGTTTCTTTTATCTAAAACATATTCCTGTATGAAATAACTATACAAAAATTTATTTCCTATATACAAATCTCATTGATTTGTTAAGATATTTATTTTAAAATTTTATTAATTGTTAAAATTTTTTTTAACTAACCACAGAGTTTTTAAGTATTAATATTTATATATATATATATATATATATATATATATATATATATATATATATATATATATATACAGTAGCGTCCAAAACTAAGGGACAAAATTTTAAAACCTAATATTTGTTAGAAATAACAATGTGAAAAGCTGAATTTTTGACAACTGGTAGTCGTTATCATCCATAATAACATACTAAAATTTGAATCATTTGCAAAGGATAGAAAAAGAATTATAACAATTATTTATTTATTTATTTTCAAAATAGGATCGTCCAAAAGTAAGGGACAAAATTGAGAAAAACAATGTAAACAGTATGCTATATTCAAATTTTTTGATTTCCTCTAAAGAATAAGTCTTACTTAGTCATTTGTAAACGTTGCATCAGCCGGCACCATGGCGAAACGCCAAAAACTTGATTACTCTGTGAGACAAGCTATTGTGAAGCCACACAAGGAAAAGCACACCATTAGAGAGATTTCAGAGAAAGTGAAACGTTCCAAGAGTGTTGTAGGCAGGGTTGTTAAATCTTACAATGATACTGGCAAAATAGTTAGTGCTTTTAAAACCGGCAGACCCCGCAAAACTTCGGCAAGAGAAGATCGAATAATGCAGCGTATGTCATTAAAGGACCGGTTTAAGTCTTGCACAGAAATTAAAAGGGTTATGAATAGTACCTCATGTGTTAATGTGTCAAGACAGACTGTTTGTAGACGACTGCAAGAAATAGGGCTGTTTAATCGAACCCCAGAGAAGAAACCACTTGTTAGTTCGAAGAATAAGAAGAAGAGATTAGAGTTTGCAAACAGGTATGTAATTTGGACATATGAAAATTGGGCAAAAGTATTTTTCAGTGATGAAAGCAAGTTTAATTTATTTGGAAATGATGGAAAAACAATGTAAAGAGACGTATTGGTGAAAGATTAAGTGCAAAGTGTACTAAGAAAACTGTCAAGTTTGGGGGCGGAAGCGTCATGGTATTTGGAATGTTTTCTAGCCAAGGTACAACGCCTCTTGTCCGGTTACAAACTCGTGTAAACGCGCAGATCTATAAAAACATTGTTCAAGATCATGTTGTGCCAATCATACAGAATTCAGGTTTTCGATAGGGGCTATCTTTATGCAAGATAATGCCCCATGTCACAAAACAAAGGTGGTAATGAGTTACCTTAGCGAGCAAGATTTGGAAATTATGGATTGGCCACCGCAAAATCCTGACTTAAATGCAATAGAAAATCTTTGGAAGACCTTAGGAGTGAAAGTTATGGAAAGAAATCCCACTAACACGGAGGATTTGTGGGTGAAGCTTCAAGAAGAATGGTCTAAAATTAGTATCGAGGATAGTCAAGAACTGATTCGTTCTTGTAGTCGAAGATGCAGCTGTCATTGAGAGCAAGGGCTCATTTACTAAATATTGATTGTACATGTATTTTTATTGTTTTTTGCCGTTTACATTGTTTTTCTCAATTTTGTCCCTTACTTTTGGACGTTCCAAATTTGAAAATAAATAAATAATTGTTATAATTCTTTTTCTATCCTTTGCAAATGATTCAAATTTTAGTATGTTATTATGGATGATAACGACTACCAGTTGTCAAAATTTCAGCTTTTCACAGTTGTTATTTCTAACAAATATTAGGTTTTAAAATTTTGTCCCTTAGTTTTGGACGCTACTGTATATGTATATATATATATATGATAAAAATATGGTTTTTAATGTATGCCATACTTATGGGTAAATGTGATCAATATCAGGGATAGTGCATTTGTAAATATAAAAGTGGACACTGAGGTCAACAACAAGCTGTCTGTTTCATGCTTGAATGCAATCTTCAGGCCATGAGTGCTGTGTGATGGCTTGAGTATTTATATATGCTGTTAAATAGTGCATTATGGGTAGCAAAATTTGTTGTGTTATCCAAGATTATTGGGTAGGTAGTAAGTAATTCAACCAACAAAACTTTCACAATGAGGATATAAGGCCATGTACCAATGAAAAGTGAGCTGCCTTTTTAAAGTGGATCTATAGATGTGTATATAAACAGATGGAAAATCAACCAAAATAAGAGACAATAAATTAATTTTGTCCATTCTTTGATGCTGTAGTCATTGTAACATATCCAGAGACATGATATTACATTTGTCCGTCTAGCTGGAGACCTTACACAGCTAAACTGTTTTTGTTACATTGAAAACAAACATACTTTCCTTCACCATGTGATCAAATGATGGCTACTTGGATACATACATACATACATGCATACATATACATACATATATATTTACTTTCTCTTTATCTTTCTCACATTCACCAAGACTCTTTACTTTTTTTAATTGATTTCACCTCATGAAAGCAATAAAGCCACTAAAACACAAGAGATTACAGGATGTAGAAGAATTAGAAACAGAAACATTGCTAATAAGTGGGAACAAAAAGAGTAATCAGGAGGATAGTAGATAGCGATTGACATTTCATTTATATTTTTGAAGTTTAAAGTTGAAAACATGGAGCTGTAAGGAATTTCCACAAGCGATTAGTGCGAGAAAAGAAACTGTTAGCATTGAATTTATGGTTACATCTAGCCAGCTCAACAGTAAATTGATGAGATCTCGACGCCTGTCTAGTACTGAACTTAAATTCATAAAGTCTAGGCACCATAGCAAAGAAGTCATCTGAACAAGAGAAAGTTAGTTTTGGAGGTGTTTAAATTAACAATCTATTTGTTGCCCCAGTTAACAAAAGATTGGAGATTGTTTTGGACATCAGCTGCCATTTTGTGCTTATTGAACTGATCAGACTTACTATGGAGACAGCAGTAAATGGTTGTGTTGTTAGCATAGATACGAAGTTGAGAGCTGATGTCATCGAGAAGGTCATTAATGAAAATTAAAAACAAAGTAAGACCAAGGATTGAGTCCTGGCGGACACCTGCATTAGTACAAAAGGGTCTATACGAGTGGCTGTTCAGGATAACTTTCATTTCACGATTTGATAGGAAAGACTGGATCAATTCAAAAATCTACCCGGAGACACCATAACTTTTCAGCTTGTGGAGAAGACCTGTATGCCAAACCCTGTCAAAGCCTTTCGAGATGTCCAAAGCTACAGCCCGGGCTTCACCGTTTTTATCTAGAGCATGATAGACTCTTTTCGCAATTATCGTTAGTACATTAGTACTTGACGTGGAGAAACGAAAGTCATATTACTTGTCTGAAAAAAGGCCCTGCGTTGAGAGATGTATAACCAGTTCAACATTGATTAGGGCCTCTCGGAGTTTCCCATAAAGAGATAGAAGGCTAATAGGCCGATAGTTAGAAGTTAAAATCTAGGACAACAGATGATGACTTTCAGCAGGCAGACTGTGAGGTATTTATTATACAGTTTAGAGAGAACAGGAGCCAGTTCAAGAGCACACTTCTTAATCACTATTACAGGGACACCGCCAGGTCCGAATACTTTGTGGGGATCTAGGTTAGATGGAGGAGGTTATATGCATATCACTCAATAGAGACTCAGTTCTAAGTGGGAAGTTAGGATGTGATACTCCAGATTAGTCAAGAGTGGTGTTTAAGGAGAATTTACACTTGAACTTTTGATACTTCAATTTTCACCTTATCCTTCTGTATTGTTATATTGTATGTATAAAGATTTATTTTGTATTTTCCCATACTTTGGGCATTTATTTTAGTCATTACACAAGAAGCCAATATACACCCAAATCAATTATACCGATATATGCTGGGAATGGACATTGTCATAAGATAAACAATTAATCCATATCTAATAATCCCCTAACTCTCATATCAGTCAATAAATATCCTTTACCTAAATATATGTGTAGTTGTCTTTGTTCACTGTCATTTTTACTCTGTGCCTGAGGTTTCATAGCAAACAAAACGCATAACAATTTCATCATCTGCACTAAAGGTTTTCAGTTGTTAGTTGTAAAAAGCATGAATATTTAACATACACCAAGGTTTTTGTTTTTGGAGAAAAACAAGCAATTCAAAAATAAATATAGCTCCTTTTTAAATAAAATTTTAAATTTTCTTCTAAATATAGGATAAATATTTTATTTTTTCTTACCCAAAATGCCTGTTCCAAGGATACATGCTATTGTTACAAAATCTAGAAAAGAAAGAAAATTTAAACGGTAGATGAAAATAAAAAGTTATATAAAGATATGTTAGTATAAACAGCAAAATTTACTTAATGATTTAATTTTAATTAATCTCTACCTCATCACTTCAATCTGCACTATTTTAGAACCATTTGTTTATTTGTTTTCAAAATCATTTATATAAAAAGGAGGCTTGTTTGCAATACAAATCTAGAAATAATTTCAATCAAGGAATGAACACCCATGTATGATATTGTAAATAAACATTGTACTCTATGCAATAACCCATAAAACGAGAAGGGTGTGCTTAAAGTGCAACATATAACTTTTCTTAATCGATGATGCTCTTCGTGACCGAGTCGGTTAAAAGCACATGTGACCCAAGGCCGGTTTCTTCTGCAAAGGGGGACGCAGGTTTGAATCCTGCTGGAGGGCACAATTTTTCATTAATAAGATTTCTCGAATATTCAGACGAAAATAATGTTTAAAAAATAAACGGAGAATCTCCTCAAATATGGATATCCACTAAAAATAACGTTTAAAGCTATATATATATATATATATATATATATATATATATATATATATATATACTTTTACAAACTTTGGGTGGGTTACTCAAACCGAAACAAGGACAAAAGTCCCTATAAAATATATCCGCAAATCCTTCGTTTAAAGAAAGTTTACGGTAGATGGGAGCTGTGTTGCTATGAAGACGAGGTTACATTTGTCATTCGTGTACATTTGTGGCTAGTCTGTCTTAAATATTTAACGTGTAGTAGCAAGTTAACTGAGAAGTGTTCCGATAATAATGGTAGGATTTTCATTTTCAAGCAGATATCTGTATCAGATTGCGTTTCCAAACCGAAGGCAGCCGTGTCATTTAACCTTTGCTGCTGTTTATCGTCGCGTTGCTATGACAGGATCTGCGGAACTTCAAACTATGGATCGAGAAAAATCGATTGTACATTTAACAACGTCTACCGTAGTCTTTAAACTTAATAACTCAAAAACGAAGCATCTGCGGACATATGTTTTATAAATTATCAACGATAGCTGGGACTTCTACAGATCCAAACGATTAAGTAAAATAGTTTACGGTGACTTCGGTGGCTGATCCAGGTTCCTTAAGGAAAGCAATAGTGAAAATATTTGTCAAAGAAGTAGAAGTAGATGGCCTTATTGACAGTGACATCTCTGTGTGCTTCATCCAGTAGCATTCTTTTTTGAAGAGCATTTCAGGGACTCGATGAGTGCTATGCTTTTGTCGAGAAGGCAATCACTGAAGCTGTTCGTCACTGGAGGCCTTACTTGATCAGAAGATATTTTACAGTGAAAACCGACCAGAGGTCCGTGGAGTACATGTTTGATAAAAGACAGAAAAGTAAGATAAAGAAGGATAAAATATTGCGCTCGAGGATGGAGTTGTTTTGTTATAATTTTGAGATCCGATACCGACCAAACTGGGTGAACATTTCTCCTGACATATACCCTAGCTACGTTATAATCGACATTCTCTAGTAAATCTTTATCAAGTTTTGTGTCACCCTGGAGTTAGACGCTTGAATCATTTTTTGAAAGTAAAAAAATATGCTCTTTTCAGAGGAGGATTTGTGACAAGTAATTAAATCCTGTAGAGTACGTGCAGAGTGCAAGCCAAACATTTCTCGACCTGCTCATTTGATAAAAGCTACTCAGCCTTTCGAGCGCCCAAGTAAGGATTTTAAGTATGAAATTTTTATGAGGTCTTGGTCCAGTAGGGAGCAAGATATCGACTCGGCGCCCCCTCCCACCACAACCAGTGGCCAACAAACAGGATGGATCAAGTACTAATTATTAAAAAATTCAAATACAAATACTTCTTGCGATTACTGAAGCGATATAATTGGAAAATACAAATATAAATACAAGTAATTTCCTTCCAGATTAAAAAACAAAGACAAATACTTCTGAACTAGGCAAAAATCTAAATATAAATGCCTTTTCACGCAAATACAAATACTCTGAAAAAGTATTTAAATACAATTCAAATATATTTTTATTTGACTCTTTACCAACAAGCACAGAAACCTGAATTAAAAGATGTCAAAACTAGAGCAATTTATTTAATCTATTTGAATTCGTAAAACCGAGGCATTCGACAAGGCTTGGTGGTCAAAAACTTGTCAATAACACCATCCACATTTATATGTCCAAATTCTTCATTTTAGATACTTAATAAAGCCAAATTGCTCATGCGTTCTTGATCCATTGTTCTTCGGAATTTGTTTTTTTTATTAATTTTAGTTTGCTGAAAGAGCGCTCATATGATGCCACAGAGAGAGCAACAGCCAACAGTATGCGCAATACTATTTGTAAATTGGGGAACCCATTATCACCGTAAGATATTGCGAAGTTGAAAAGCTCGATTGGGGTTTTGGGTTTAACGAAGGTACTGTCTGTAATTTTGCGACCGAGTTCTCTTCCTTCAAAATCACCTTCGTATGCTGCAGTAGATGCTTTACATTTTTCTACTGTGTCTTCGTTCGAATCAATGAGGCTTTTAATATGTAAGCGGAAACCAAATTGCACATGTAACTGACTCAACCTTGTGAATCGATCATTCAGTGCTGCCTTCAAGGTTACGTCCAGTACTTCTCTCACATTTAGAGGCTCATCTTTCGTCTCCTCTCCAGCCATTCTTTTTTACGACGCACCATTCTCTGTTAACTAACGTCAATACTCCATTTTAAGCATTTTTCTTCGCCTTTTGCAGTTGAATTTTTACAAAGAGAATGACGTTCACTCATAAGAGATTGTTGCAGACTTTGAATGTCAGCTCGAGTTTAATTGAATTTCATTCAAGGCTACTGAAGTCTCTTCTGTACTCAGTCGATGGTAGTCAGAACGGCAGCATAGTTAGAAAACTGAAAGTTTACATGTTGTGCAGCAAACATCTGGCATCGCTTCTTGTGTCGACTGATACTGACATATCACTTGTCATATCCTCCAAAGATTTAGCTATGTCATCCAATGTTGTCTTTACAACGTGAACAGCATCGCGCCTTGCAGTCCATCTTGTATCAGGAGACCGCTTTACAACCACTTTGATTCCTTCAATTTTCCCACCGCATTATTGGGCTGGAGAATAAATTGTACAATGAATAAAGAACACAAAAAATGATTTAGCAAACACATCTTCTGATGCTGCATGCACTCCTACGAGATTCAAAGAATAGTTGTCACAATTCACAGAGGTTGCTTTCGGATTCCTTTATAATATGCGTTTTTGGACATCGGACACCTTTCCAGCTATTGTTGCAGAAATGTCATATGTCATTGTGATATGTCTGTCCACGACAGTCATTCAAATAAAGACCATCTCGTTCCAATTTTGAAGTATTTCTTTCTGTAACATTCTCGGCTTCTTTTTCATGAATTTTAATAAAATCAATAAACACTTCCTTGACTATCAACATCGACAAACCTGAGAATTTCAGACATTTGTTCATTGTGAGAAAACTCTCACGAGTTGTGTCGAACATAATCCCATAGTATTTTCTTTTGTCTCTCTGTAAGATAGACTGATGCTCAATAAAATCATTCTGCATCATGCTAGGCAAAAATGTTGCCGAATGTGGATCCGACTTGACATAATCCAAGTGACGCTGCAACAGAGGGTTGTACATTCTAAGAGGCTTAACGAGTGCAAGAAAATTACCAGGATTATTACTTGATGCAATGACTTCTCGGTATCCACGAAATGCCAGATGATGAGTCGCTAAAAACTTGGTAAAATCCACAAAACGCATGAGTAGATCCTTCCACAACTTCAGTATTACTCTGTCAATCGTAGAACCTTATGATATGTCCTGTTCATGTTCTGATATCGTAGAACCTTATGATATGTCCTGTTCTGATATCGTAGAACCTTATGATGTGTCCTGTTCATGTTCTGATATTCTTTCGTTGCATTTTTTTCCATTTTGGAAATCCACTAGTTTTTTCGAATACCCTGCTTTGGTTGAATGAGGCCGTTGAAAACAATAAACGGCAGAAATAATAAACTGCATCATTTTTGTACTACAACCAATTACGTGGAATCGTAGACCCATCCTGTAGTTTTCTTTGAAACCAGTAATTCGGAAAGCTGCGGTTGACATCCACATGTTTTGTGCTCAATTCACTTTTCATTGCTTCTTCGACATATCGGTTCTAAATAACTTACCGGTTTTTTGTTACTTTGAAAGGGCCGTCTTTATTCTGAAATGCCTTAGAACACATCTTCACTATTTGTACGCGTAAATCATCAGAAATTTGTGATTTATCGCAATTTACGTATAAATGTAAGCAACCTACATCTTTCTTGGTTAATACTGGAGATTTAGTTTCATCATATTGTAAATGTTAATCAGATTGGCAACAATCCATTGATCCTGGTGCTGTGTCTGTGTAGTCAGAGCAAGTGGCAAGAACAAATGTGGAAACAACGTGATTGTCATCATTTCCATCTGGACGTGGCATTTAAAAATAACTTCTTCATAGTTTGACTGGTTTTCTGTAGATCTTCGCATTCTCTTACGATTCTTCCTTCCTCACCGGATTCTTTCTTTTTTTGTTGTCGATGTCGTTCCATTCTTAAAATTTCTATCTGAAATAAAAGTATAGTTCCCTCTCTCAGTTATTGTGAGGCTAGTTTGTCTCATACGAGTGTTTGTTGTCAATCAGCACCATGGAGCCTTAGCGCGATAACGCCATTCCACTGTAAACAACACCGTAACGACCGGACAACACCACCGTGAAGATTGAAATAAACCACAGGGGTCAATATCAGAATCTATCTTAACTTAACAGCCTAATACATATATACGTTGCAATAAAGCATTTTTCCCTATATTCTCAGCGGGAGTGCATGGTTTTCCGTAATAATAATTTTCATTCATTGATTTTCTCGGCGTAGTATAATCATATAATAATAATATTGTTATTGCACCGACGGCTACAGAAAACACACTGCAAAGCTTTTGCCATCGCTAATGACAATCAAAATTGTGCCATAAAACTCGTGAATCTTTTCACATCAAAACCCTGTATATGGGAATATATTGCATTGAGTTGTACTAAGATCATTATGTCTTTCAGGATTTACCAATTGAAGCGAGGAGAAAATTTACCATTATCGTCATTTTACAAAGAAACGCTGGGTTTACCATCCCAGGAATACATCTTAAAACGTTATAAATTAGTTTTCAATCTGTGCCTCAACCGAGGAAAAACAGAATTAAACAACTCTTTTTGTTGTTTCTTTAACACATTTCACGTTTTGGCTGACATGTGCTTCCGGCCGCACTGCTCATGGTGAAAGAACTACAAAACGTCGTCGCCAAAATAATTCATGAGACGCCGTTAATGAAATAAGTATATGCGGGCAGTTACAAAAAGGATATTATAAAAGCATATTAAAATAAATAAAAAAGAGGACATTTTAGGTCCTCTTTCACCTTTTTTTGAATTAATTTCTCGATATTTGCGCCGATAAATGTGTTAAAACTTTGCCTACAACTTGGTCTTAATTTTTCACCACATTTGGTTTGGTTAGATTGGGTCTAGTTAGACAATATTTTTACACGTATTTGTGAAAATATTAGAAGTGAAACATTTCACTTGCAATTCACTCCCAGTCCCGGCAATAAACTTGCCACTCACATTTTGCGCCCCATGACGATGCGCCACGGGACGGCTGACCGTCCCTGCCTCCCCACGCTATGTTCTGCCACTGATTGGTGAATATTGAGAATCCCATAGACAACGTGAGAAGCATAAACAGTTTAAGGGGAATAAGAACTAAAAGAATCTGCTGCTAACAATGAGAATGAGAGAGCTTAAATTATTGGCTCATATAATAAGGAAAGAAGGCTTGGAGACTTTAACACTTAGGAGCACATTAAACATGAGACGCAGGGGAAACAGCAGGTAATCTACTTGGCAAGTTTTAATAAAGGGATGGCAGAACAAGTGCTACAAAGGTAAAGAGGGGTTTCAAAGGAGCCACAATTAGATCCGAAGGACAAAAAGATAGGAAGCTGTGAAGCACACGACTTGAAAAGAGAGAGAGAGAGAGAGAGAGAGAGAGAGAGAGAGAGAGAGAGAGAGAGAGAGAGAGAGAGAGAGAGAGAGAGAGAGACTCTTGATTCAATCGGCATTAACAAATAAAATAACTTAATCACTTGCAGGGATCAGAGCTCCTTATGCTCCAATCTATCAAGTGCATACTTTATTCTGGCTCAGGGTCCCATATATAATTTATGGGGTGGGGTATCTGTCGCCACTTTTTAAAATCCGTTTTTTGTAGGTTATCTGTCGCCATCTTTTAATTTACGTATTGTTGATCTTTTCTAAAGTTAGATGTATTTAAAATGTTTATTTTTTAATTGTCTCACACTATGTGATATTGTAATTTTCTTAAAAGGCATTTTTAATGTTTGCTTGTTTTCCCCTTTGTATCATTTATGTAGTTTTCTATGTTATTTCCAGTGGCGGCTCGTAGCTAAAATTAGTGAGGGTGCTACTTCAGAATTTTTTTAGCCATTGTTTTAATATTGTGTAAAGCGAAACTAACACATAAAAAGGAAATTTATACATAAACTTGATAAAATCTTAAACGAAAAAATATTTTTTACTTATTTATAAATTGTTACAGTTTAAGCTTGTTATAGTCATTTAAAAATGAAATACATTCTTCTTGTTTTACTTTCAGAGAAAAAGGTTAATAATTTTTTCCTAGATCTTTCGATGATCGGTGGGGAAATTTTTCTCCATTGAAAGTAATGCAAGTGCATTTATTCTTTCAGGATTCATAGGGCTCCGTAGGAAAAGTTTTTACTTTTTTCAGTGATGAAAAGCAGAATTCTGGCACTGATATAACCATGGGAATTGTCAAGAGAATTTTTATCAGTTTCGTAATTTCACAAAAACACCTTCTAGATTATTTTCCAAGATAGATTCTCATTTTCCAAGATAGATTTCAGCATCTCAATTAATTCATAATATTCATGCCTATCGGATCTACAATAGAATACTTTTAGTTCAGTTTCAAGCTTTTCTTTGTCATTCATGGGATATGCTTCAGTGGTCAGTACTATCTCTTCTGTGGGCAGTTCATTCTTAAAACTAGTGAAGCTTTTCTTGTAGAACAATTTAGCAGATAGTGTTTAGTGGAAGAACATCTGCCTATTATGTAAACACATGAAGTCATACACTTCCTTTGCTTTGAAGGATTCTCACAGATCTTCGAGTTTCTTATTTCTAAAATAGCAGTTTTAAAATCTTTTATTTATTCAGTGAATTTAAACATACTAATTTCTCGAGATTGCATTTGGTTGTAAATTACTTTAACGTGAGGTATAATCTTATGAAAAAATTCTAACCAAAACGTGAAATTATCATCATTCAGTTATTGTAAAATTCTTGTTGCTTCTGCAATGGTTTGATCTACATCTGTTGTTTACTGAATTTCAGTTAGGCAGCTTTTTAAAGATTGCAAGTTATCATGAACTCTGTTCACGTTCCGTATGTTAAAATTACATTGTAGAGAATGGACGTAGAATGCTGACGTCCATATGATTCTTGAGAATGGATACACGTTGTGGTGATTTGGAGAAGAATGTTGGAATAGCCAAGATGTTAGAGAAAAATATTCTTCCATTCCATGTAATACTTGCAGCATTTCTCATTATTAAATTAAGTTGATGTGTATAACAGTGAATGAAATATGCACTACTCTAAACTGCTTTTATTTTTACTTGAACACTTCCTCTTTTGACTTTTATGACATTTGCACAATCAAATGTCTGTGCTATCAATTTTTGTCCATTTCATTGAAGAATTACGTCTAATTGTTCTAGAATACGTTTTGATACACCATCTGCATTTTAGTTTTCTGGAATAAAGAATCCCCCAAAATACTCAAATATTTCTTCATTCAACACGTACCATAGTTATGAAACATCTGTTGTGTCATCAGCCAAACGAAACTTCCCTGATTTCTGACCTTATCTTCTCGTGTTATATTTGCATCAGGCAGACAAGTTTCTCATTTTGAATGGTCTAAGTAACATCTTTGAAAACCGTACTGGTGTCTAAGTGATTCTTCAAATCTGGATCCAATTTAGATGCCAAATTTATTAATCCTCTAAATAGACCTGGATTTACTGAATCATATTTTTCATCATGTCCATGTAAAGGAGTTTCAAAATTTACACAAAATAAAATGCAGTTTATTATTTGGGATAAAATTTCATGTTTTATGTTATGCTCATTAATTGAAAGTCTGTATGCCTCACTAAGTTTCTCCGTAATATTTATATTTCCTAAAAGTGACAATGAAACCACATTTTCAATATGCTTCTTTGATTTCTCATGTTTTTCATTTTTTTCTTTCACTTTGGATATATTTAAAAAAACAATGCATTTTTTGACTTTACAGTCGCAGAGCCAACTTTTCCGTTGGTAGCATTCAGAATTAAAGCTACGAATATTCCTCTTGTTCTTGCTTATTCCTGGCTGAGATATTTGAATATCAGGTGTTGAACGGCTTTTTTTTCTTAACTAAATTTCTCATGGAGAGACAACTGTTAAAGTTCACTTACTGTTTCAGAACTTTTTTCTTGGAGATTCAAGTAGGTCATGGTTAAATTATTAAAATTTTCTATAAAATAAAACAACCGAAAAAACAATGAATTAAACAGAATAACTGAAACCATGATAGTCATCTACATTTTTTTATCATATTCAGGAATAATGGTAACGGTTTTTAAGCACAACACACATTGAGTCAAAAATAAAAACTACCTTACACTTGGACAACAGGGTTGACACTGCGTGATCGACGGTACTCTCTCTAATCAGCTTTTGGCTTCTTTTCTCGGACATGTACGTATGCGCAGAACAGCCATGCACCGTATTACTGGAAGGATTTTTATTTTTCATGGACGAAGCGATAGCTCCTGACATTAAGCTTAAGGATTGTATAATGTACAAGGATACAGAAAGAATTAAAGAAAAAACACATTATGTAGAATGTTATCAATAATATCGAGTAAAAGGGGGTGCTGCAGTTTCGCAGTGACTATACATGAGCTGCTACTGGTTATTTCAAAACTTTTAATGATTTTCTTTTATTTTATGCAATTCAGAGTGTAAAACAAAAAATAATCAGAAATTCATTCTTGTTAATGTAGTAATTTTAAAAGAACATTTTCATTAACAAAATAATATTTTAAAGGATCTTTCTGTGCGATAATATTCCTAATTTTTTCTTCAGTAATAACCCCAAAACTTTTTTTACTCCCCACCTCCTCTCTTAATGTATTTTTTTTTTTTTTGGTGCATAAAGAATCAAATAACCCATCGAATCTGTTTATTGCGCACAAAATAACAGCATTTTAATTTCAATTGCTTACTGACCTAAAAATGTTATATAATGACATCATGCTTTGTTGTGAGGTTATTATTAATGAAAAAACAAGTTGATTTTGTTTCTGTTTAGTGTTTTAGACAATTTTGAAATATTGTATCCTTGAATAACCTAAACGATAACATTCCAAATACTACCCATGAGTTTGACAAGTGACACTTCAACCGTTTGGCACCTATCAAATAGACTTTAGTTTAAATCCATTTAGAAGTCAGTAAGCAGTTATTAATTAAATTATAATTTTTACTAGCGACAAATAATTGATGACTTGGAAAGTTTAGAAAATGTGGTCTAAGTTTTTATATTGAAGAATATTGGAACAAATAACGAATAAGTTTTGTTCCAATAAAAGAAAAAAATAGTCTTGAATTTTATAAACTTACAAATTGTTCCATGTGTGAAAAAGTGACAGGAGAAAAGAGTTTTTATATTTTAAAAAATCAGTATGAAATATAGTTTTAATATTTAAAATTTAAAATTTTATATTTACAAAGTTAAATTCAAGTATTGTGATTATTCGTGATAAATTAAAAAAAAATTAATGGGCGTATTTTCGCGACATGTTTTAAAAAATGTTCTTGTAACGGTAAGAAAGTTCAAAAAAGAAAGATAAACCTTTTCTTATTATAGTTTTTGTAGGATTATTAAAAAGTTGACATTTTCATTTGTTGAATGAATTTTTATAAAATACAGACATTTAAGAGAAATGTTTTATTTTGAAGCTGTAAAGAAAATGTTGAGTTAAAGAACAAATGGTAACAAAAGCAAAAGAAAAATCTAACTTACATGTTTGAAGATAAACAGTATTATTCATGAAGAGTTTGTGAAGTATTTGTTTATAAAACTGACGTTCCTTCCTGTTCAGTTGTAATATTAAAGGAACTATGTAAAAAAGTGTTAATTAAAAAAATCATTAAATTTAAGGTTAGTTTCTTGAAAGTTTTAGCGATTAGGAGAATAGCAAAACTTAAAATATCATGAAATGCAACATTGTGCTTTGTTTAAAAAAAACGTTTTGCTGTTGCTATATTTGAGTTTATCTGCTCTTTTCTATGTTGTGAAAAGAAAGAACTAAAAGCTGTCACACCTGAAAAGTGTTCTACTTCCTTAGTTTCGAAATGTGTCACCGAATAATATTTTTAAAAGATTTTGTCATTAATTATTCTGTTTGTTATGATCTCATGAGATCCTCTTTAGTTCAAATTATTAGGTTAGAACAAATTATTGTTAAAAATAAATGCCATTGTTAATTACGTAATTTTGAATTTCACTGGGTGCCACACCCTTGCCACTGTAGAATCAGATTCCTACATTGTTTTAAATCCAAAATTTGTGCAAGTTAAACACATAGAGGCTCCCAGCCAAGTATAACAACTGATGCATTCTAATTGGTTGAAAAATATCAATTAGGTGTCGTTAACTACGTCCGAATGTACCGACCCAAATTTTGGCCTCGAGTTGACGCCACAAAATTTAAACATATTCCCGATCTCCCACGTGACCAAGAGAACTAATAAAAACGAAACTTCGACGCGACTTGGTCAGTGGGCATTTAAAATATAGAACTCATTCACTTGACTTTGTTGGGGATTAGTGAATGTATCTAGTTAAATCAGAAGGAATTTTTTTAGGTGGCGTGTTCGTTGATATTCATCCACAACAAATAATAAAGGAATATTTAGAACAGGTCATGCGAAGCAGAGTAAAAAACGAAGGCAAGTAGAATGC